CAGTGCTTTAAGGGGTTAAAATCTCTGAAAGAGAGAGAGAGAGAGAGAGTCTGACAGTATTGGAGAACAGGAAGAAACAAGAAAAGAGGGTGCAAATATTTGTAAATGAATTTTCCCAACAGTGTTCTTGAAACATTCACACACATACAAAGCCTGCAGGCCCCTGCCAGTTAACCCCCGGAACAATGGTGAAGGAATCCACCTACGACAGAGAGAGAGAGAAAGGTCAGTAGGATGTGATTATTACTGATGGGAGTTATTGAAAATCTGGAGAGCTGAAGTTTATGTGTGCGTAAGAGTCAACATGGTGCTGATATTTGACGGAAACTGTGTGTGTGACGTTAGTGGGATGTTAGGGTTCGAGATAGTGTGACCACCTGTGTGCATATGTGTGCATGTTTTATCAGGATGTTTGTTCTCAGTGGGAGTTTGAAACGTGATTGTGAGAGAGATGTCTGTGAGAATAAGGGTTTAAACTGTGTGTATAGCCTGTTCTACCAAATTAGTTCTTACTAACATCCTACAGTGAGTAAATATTTTAGAAAACAATACGTATTCAGATATTTACAAACATTATGATCTATTTAAACCCAAGGCATTTATAGAGACAGTGGTTAGCTAAATATATACAAAATCATCATTTATAGGGTACTTCAATTTAAAAAAAATAATCCCATGTTTTTATATTACTACTGAAACACAAGGGTGGAGCCATATTTTTCACACCCCTGCATTATAGAGCAGGAAGTGAGACTGCATCCCTGCCCCTCATGGCCACTGTGACTGTTTCGGTAGTAATAATTTTAGCTAATTTTGAGCACAACTCAAAAACACTTGCCAGTACATGAATAGCAAACATAGCTTTGAACAGTTGTACACACATGAAATCATAATATTTTTCATTAAAACACAAAAAAGTTTACTTAATTGCAGAAAATGTTTCAGTAGTGACAATTCTTAACGTTCTCAGACTTTGGGACACATTTGCTTCAAAACATTGGGGTCTAACTCATAATGTGGTCATAAGGGACAGGGATAAAGCCTCACTTCCTGCTTTGAAATGCAGGGGTGTGGCTAAAATAAGTCTCCACCTATGGACTAAAACTCTTTATGTTTTGGTAGTGAAATGAAAACATGGGATTGTTTTTTAATGAGAAATTTAAAGTCAGGGTAAATGTAAATGTTTCAACTTAAGTTTAAAATATATTAAAAAGATAAGAAAAAAAAATAATAAATTGAACAAAAATCCCAAAAGAATGTGTTATTTTCACAAGTATTGCATGTATATATATGTACATACCATATAGTACTGGGCAAAGGTTTTAGGCACCTGGGAAAAATTATATTAAAAAGTTATTTAAGTGGGCAGTAAGTGTTAGTTTGCTCAGAAAAACATGAATTTTATAATATGTTACTTTTAATAAAACACTATAAAGTAAATACAAGCATTAATACAATAAGTAGAGCCTTTATGTAATTTAATGTGTTCATTTAACCTTTTCCAAACCTTTCTTTATGGCAGCCTGCTGTGATTTGAAGTTACCATCCAATACCTGGTTTGACTAATGGATACTGTGACATCAGCAAAAAAGAGGCAAGACCAGGAAACACCTCATAACAGAGATGCTCTACATTGGCTTGTTAGTGCACACATACAGTATGTAGCTTCTATGCTCAGTGACTAGCTGAAGGACTTCAAGCTTGGGGAAGTCAGTGGGGGGTTAACAAAACCTGTTCACTAAAGTGCTAGTATGACACTTGCAGCCAGAGAACACATGACCTTTTGCAACACATATTGTAGCTAAACAGCAACATTAAACTGACAGTCACAGTTGTTTCTTTTTAATGCATTTGTGTTCATTTGTATTTATTTTAATGATGTTTTACTAGCAAAAAAATTAATCTTAAACAATCTGTTTAGGTGGCAAAAACTTTTGTGTAGTCCTCTTTGTGTGAGTGAGTGGGTGTGTGTGTGTGTGATGTCAATAGGACACTTGTTCTTAGTAAAATAAAAAGAAAAAAAATGCATCTGCGTCATATGTCAATTGAATGTTTGGTCCCAATGAGCAATTGAGACTGTGTAAGTGTGTGTGTGGGAGAGACATCAGCAGGATTTAGGATTTCAGTGACAGCTTCAGACTATGTGTTTGTTTGTGTTGTGTTTGGTATCGTACATCTTGGGGGCAAAAATGTTCCAATTTTAATATGCTTTTTACAAACTGTGAAATTTTTGGTTGCTCAAGTTAAAGGGGATGTCCTATGAAGTTTCAGAACTTTGCATAATTAACACACTAATAGTCAAATACTCCATTCTAGAGAAACTTACAGAGTCAAAATAGTTCCTAGTGGAGGTTATATATATATATATATATATATATATATATATATATATATATATATATATATAGTTACTTACATATACAGTGTATAATACACATAAGACATATTCATATGCTTAAATATAGGTACCCACACACACACACACACACACACACACACACACACACAAACATATACACATACATATTGATCCCACGCTGTTATTGCATGAAAACAGGAGTGTATTTGTGTGTGTGTGTGTGTGTGAGAGAGAGAGAGAGAGAGATGTCAGATGTAGGATGTTCTCAATGAGAGTTTGAGTGATGAGCCAGGTCATCACATCTCTCCACCTCATCCATCATTTGTCTCAAACAAACGAGTGAAGCACACATGCCTCCTCCCTCCCTCGCTTTTCTCTTTCTCCCCTCGTTCTCCCTTTCTTTCTCCTTCCTTTTCCTCACACTCTCTCCTCTGTCTGCTTTCTTTCCCTCTGGCAGACGGACAGTAGGCCTGTGTGGGAACACTGACCTGAGTTCGGCCTCACACTGTTTTTGCCTGCTACTGTGTGTGTGTGTCTGAGATAATGCATATTTGTGTGTGAGTGTGAGTGTGTATACAGTACATACTCATGAGGCGATTTATTTCATAGGGCAGTTGATTACTCGTGTTTGTGGGTCTTGCACATGTGCAGTACAGTGCAGATCATTCTTCACGCATCTAATTTCCAGTCAAAAACACCCTTAAATGCAAGTTTCAGTGTCAGGAGAAAAGCAGAAAACATTTTTATCACAGAAAATTAAACACAAGCTTAAACAATTAAATATAATTTTTCACAGTATTCAGTGTGTCCACTCTTTGCCTTTTTTACAGCTTCCATTCTTTCCGGGAAACTTTTTCTACTCCGGGACATTTTTCTACACTTTCAAAGTTCAGTCTTAAATGTTTGCTTTCATTTTGGCTTCTCATAAGCAAAACAATCATATTTATTAAGTCTGATTCTTCAGCCCATAAAACCTTGCGCCAAATCTCCAAGTCTAGTTTCAGTTTTTCATCTTTTTTGTCTATTTTCTTTTTCTTTTCTTCTTTTTAACATCTTTTAATATTTTTTGAACTGCAGTTTTGGAAACTCTTTTTTTTTCACCCATTTTCTTCGACTTTACCCTTCCTTACGCAAGCAGATTATATCTGATAATCTCAGAAGTATCTCCTGGAAAGGACTACCTTGTACTTATCGGCCTATTTGACTGGAAATTAAATACCTATAAAGTGGTCTCTGACTTTTGCAGAGAACTGTACTTAAGTTTTGAATAAAGAAGTCATATAATGAAGGAGTCATGCCTGAGGCACTGCCCACAGTTACGACTCTTAAAAATGTGTTGTGATTAAAATGTTTGAATATTTAAGATCTTAAAAATACATGTACTCAATAGTTATAATTGAAGTCTTAATTATAAGGGTCAGACCCCCAAGACAAGCTGCATGAACATAATAGTTAAATTATTTTGACTTTTCTCATTATTAACAGAAATTAGTGTGTCATATGCATATGAGAGAAGTTATACAATTGTATGCAAATGTTTGGGCAACCCTGGCCAAATTATATATTTTTTTTTATTTTGAAGTGAAAAGAATTGAGCAGTATGCAGCAAACAAATTCAAGAATTACATTTTCCTGCAAATGTTAATGTTGTTGCTTTCTTTGATTAACTTAAAAAAACAGCAAAACATGTAGTTGCCATTGCATGTGCAGAGGCTTGTACACTCTTTTAGTTGTAAAAGTCTCACAATTTAATTAAAATGAATTCATTAGGCCTAAACAGACCCATTAGGAGTAGTTAGACTGGTCAGGATTTATTATTAGGAATTGTCAGCTGATTTCAGACTGTAATAAATTCTCTTGCTCTTCAACCCTTGTGCTCTCAACACTCTACAATGATGGGCTCCTCTCAGCAGCTGGCTGAAAATCTGAAAATAAAGCTAAGTGATGCCAACATAGCACAGCAAACACATACAAATATATCACTGTGCTTCGAGTTAGCAATTCCCCCAAATTTTGGAGAAAAAATGAGCAGCATTGATAAAAAGAACATTTTGCCAAATGTTAAGCATGAGGGTGGATCTATTATGATTTGGGGGTGTGTAGCAGCCAGTGGCACAGGAAACACTGCATGGGTAGATGGAAGAATGGATTTCAATAAATGTCAGCAAATTCTGGAAGCATATGTGACACGATCAGACAAGAAACTGAAGCTAAGGAAAAGCGGGACAATGATCCAAAACATATTTGATTACCCTAACCTTCTATCGTGTCTTAAGTGAATGCAGTGTGCCATTAGCTTCACCGTTAGCTTAGGAATTCTCAGCAGATAGTCAACGTCACTGCTTGAAATCAAACTTTTTTCTGTAACTTCTACTTGAGTTGAGTTTCACTGACATGCTGATTTGCACGGGATTAATATAGCCTGAGGTTATTTCTACTGCTTGTTTTAAAGAAGCCAAAAAGCGTCTCAATCTTTAAAGATGAGAAGCGCGCAGAGGGTATTACTAAGCACTGACTTAGTAGGGTGTGCAAACTTTTGCACATGCCACAGTTAATAAGTAATTATTGTACAATAAAAAAAAAACAGAGAAAGACAAAAACAGAAAGACAATGAGGGAAAAATGATTCATTAAGGCAGAGAAAGAGTGCACAGGTCTACACTGGAGTCCTTTATTTCTTAGTTGCTCCGCCCACATTACTGAATCGAAATGCATTACAGTTACATTGTATAAAGCAAAGTACCTCAACTCGCCAATTACTCTTAAAAATGGGATTATAAACAACGACAACAAACAAACGAACAAAAAAAACAAAACAAAAGCGAAAACAAAAAACAGAAACAGGAAAGATCCGGTCATTTAATGTGTGACGATGAACAAATGAAAGTCTGTTATCATAGTTTTGGCACAACGACTCAACAGGGACCCGAACATCACACAAGCTTTTGCAGACAACCGTAGAAAATGTCAGGTACAATTGGAAGCCAGACCAATCATGCGTTTTTTTATGAAGAAATATTACCAGCTGTTTTTTTATTCTTTCCTTTTTTTTTAAACCCCATTCCCTCCATTTTCAATATTTTACACTTGAATCAATAAACATGTCATACAAAAAATCTAATAACTATATCATTTACCAGTTTCATTAGAAGTATAAGATGGGATGAATTTTTTAATACTATCTGGCACGCAGACATACTGTATTCTACAGACTCCAGAAAATCGTGGAGTCACTCTCCCTTTTTTCACCAAAAGGGGGAGCTCGAGAGCAGTGCTAGTCAGTAAACAAACTACAATTTTGCCAAGAAATAAATACACCTTTAAACATACACAGCAATAACATCAACAACATCAACCGAGAACGAACGAAAAGAGCGAATGGAAGAAATGAAACCAATGAAAAAAACAACGAACCAATGATTGTCTAGAAACAAAAGACATGAGAATAGAATAGCTAGCGACTAGCGTACAGGCTATTTAGTGGTATTGTTGGCCGGCTAAAGAAGAATGCCCTTCAACTCAAGTTCTACAAACATCAGTACTTCTGTTTTGTTTAGAAAACAAACAAACAAACAAAAAAGTCTTATATATTTTACAACCTTTCTCCGAGGAAAATCATACAATTTTTTTTTTTGTTTTGTTTCATACAGAAAACATCTCTGCCACTATTGGACAGTACAGAAGAATTAGGCGGAGACCAGGTTGATGATGCAGTGCTTTCATTGGACGGAATCGGAGAACAGTCACACCCTCTCCTCCTCATGTCTTCTTTCATAAGATGAGTATGTGTACAAGAGCAGTCTCCACGTGATGTTTATTTGTTTTGTCCCCATTTTTTACATCACAAAGAACTGAAATTCAATTTGCCTTCCACTTTAAGAAGAAATGTTTTATGTATTATTACTGTACAAGGTTTAAAGGGAATGGCACCAGTAACTCAGTGTTGGGTCCCAGACTGTGCCAGTCAATTACTTCTCCCTTTTAGAGTCTGTGTTTCAATTCAATGTCTGATATATCATGGAAATTAACATGGACATGTCTAATGAGCTTAGACCTAATGAGTACAGTCATGATTGGTCCATACACAGTCCTAAAAATATACTCTAATATTGTATACACCTCAATTTAGAAATTCTGTCAGTGTTAGCCACAGTAGCCACTTGATTATTTCCATAATGTCTGAGGAAAATGAATGATGTCTTTTGACCAATCAGAATCCAGCTGTTAGGGCAGGTGAGTATGATTTTAGACTGCAGGCCGTATATGAATTACCACTATGGTCTTGCACTAATATCTGACACACCAAGCCGGCTGTTGGCAGTGGCCCGTAGTTTGTTCTGTGTGTCCTGCACCATTGACTCTAGGCTGTTGAGATGATTTTGGCCAACCGAGTATTTTGAATTAGAATTGGTGGTGAGAAAGCTGCCTGATTGGCCTTTCAGCCTAGCGAATCACTACATGAGAAGACAAACAAAAGTGAGGACAGAAAGCTAATGAGGGCTCACACAGAGAGTAGCCGGCCGGTTTCATCATCATTTCTGCTTTCTAATGTCCACATTTTTAAACAAGTAGTATTTAAATAACCAATTCTCAACAAGAAAGATTCACACATGAGCTCAGATGGCGCTCAGGCTGATAACACACTAACAAAGTATGAGATACCCAGTGATTTCGTGGTGTTCTTTGCTATATAATTATGAATATGCACCATCTACATGTTTCATTTCATGTATAAACAATTTTTAAGTAGGCTTTGGTCCGAATACTCCCATTACAACAATGCTAATTTCCACTAGCACCCTTATGAGATTTCTATGCCATGTTAACACCAAACTAGGTTTAGCTTAAACACTGGCATTGAAAGACTATTAATAAACTATGAATATTACTGGAGAAGCCTGTTAACTTTTGCCATTTTCTCAGAAGACGTTGGGAGCTGATGAACGGTGATCACCAGGCCTTGGTATCTGCTAGTTCTTCTATGTCGGCTTGGTGTATTCAGGCCCATACAAGAGAGTGGAGGTCTGGAAATGTGTGTGTATCTGCGTATATGTGAGAAACCGTGGTCAGGGCTGTGTGACAGGATGTGTATTTAATACCAAACAATGCCTTTTGTCACTGTTGTTGGAAATCATAATTTCCTAGCAGTTCTACTGATCTATTCATAATGAAATGGAAAAAAAGGATTATGAGAATTTGATGTGTCAGTGACATTTTGTTAGGATAATTTTTTTTAAAGTGGAAGACTCTCAAGGGGATTGGACAGGGGCTCCATTTACAACCATCCAAGAGCTATCCTACTCAGAAAATGCAAAATAAAACTGTAACAGTGTGTCCCAATTTTATCAACCTTTTCCCCTGTTCATCAGCTGCCATTGCTGTGCAAAACATATAGAAACTGGACGGAATAAATACAACTATTATTACTACTATCAGCATCATTTTCATCATCATCATCATCATCATCATTATCATAATTGTATTTACCACCATTAAAATGTCATTAGTTCGAATAAGATCGATCAGGTCATCAATAATTTGTCAGGTTTCATAATAAGTAGTGTTTTTTACTGCGTGTGCACAGACCAGGGACCCAAACAATAGTGTTTCAGGATAATTAAGCATTGCAGCCAGCAGTGTACACCCAGTGAAGGCCAAGTTCAGTCCTAGTGCCTGTTGTTGGGGTCAGAGGTCATGGTGCGGAGAGCATCATACGTGACTGAGGGACTGGATGGCGTTGGATTCGGCCGCTCGACCGAGCGTGTGCCACACAGAGGCGGCGTGAGGAGAAGGGGGTAGAGGGTCTTTATCAGCCAGAGACAGCATCATAGCGTAGGCCTAGAGAGAGAGAGAGAGAAAGAGAGAGAGAGAGTGTGAAAGAGAGAGAGAGAGACGCTACATCATGTTCTGAAGATGAAAGCCAAATGCTCGCTCACAAGGGACTGAATGCTTGCGGACATGCAGACAACAGTAATTATGCACTAATGAGTTAATAATAATATCAGTAATTATTCATGAACTAATTAGTAACATATGATAAGCCATTCATTAAAATGTTAAATTACAGCCACGCTGAACAATTATCTCAAAGCACATTACTGATGCAACTTGACAACCCTGTGAGTCTATCTCTAACCTTTATAGCTTTATCGCCGGCTATGGCATTTTTATATTTATGATTTAGCCCATCAATTCTAGAGAAATTCTACTGAAAGTGAAGATTCTAAACTTTCAATCAATACCAAATTTATTTTTATAAGCAGAATATTTTACACTTTTATAAAATAAAAATATTTATATTTATATTAAATAATTTATCTAATTTATTATATTTATATTAAAAACTTGTGTATTGTTGTTTTACAGACAGAAAAACATGTTCAACATTTCTGCCATGACTTTGCTATTTCTTGTACACAGAATACAAAAATCGAATGTAAATGTAATTCATTACATAACTATGCATTTAAAGCTATTTTGCGTTTTGGGGATTTGGTGGTTTCCTCTCTGGTAGAAATGTGTAATTGCATGCAACATGCAGAAAAACATTTTGTAACATGGGTTGTGGTTCTTCCCCAAGTGGATGAATCTGATAGAGAGTATGTTGAGTATTGAAAGAGATGTCAGTCAAAACTTCAAAACTTATCTGATCGAGCCTGACATTCTGTTTGAGCCTGTGCATGTCACGTTTATGTGTAAAGATGTTTAACGTGGTCCGAAAAGTCCTGCGAAACCCAACTTAAAGCCTCCAACTTGACAGGCTGACACCACATTTTAGTATGTTTTTATTTTCCTGCTACTTCTTTTGATTTTAACAACAAACAATCCTACACAGTGCAGCTTTTGTTTGGGGATTAGAATTGGCCAAGATCAGAACTGACAGAATTTTGCTCAAAATACGCAATCAGACAGTCTATTATTTTTATTTAGGCTAATTTATGTTGCCATTTTTTATGTAAACAATAGACAGGTAATGTAAGTGAGGCGGGTAAGTGCACTCATGCTATATTTGAATGCTGCTGCTACACTTATACCAAAATGTCACAGCATAATTAAAGATGACTCATTGTGCTAAATAGCCAGCTGCATCTTATTTTTGATGTAGCACATTATTTTATATACGTTATGTAAATAGGCAACTAATTTTTAATTCCAGAATTTAAAATACCAAATAATAATAAAATAATAATAAAAAAATAAAGGCTAATAAAAATCAACCAAAAAAATCTGCATAGAAATGAATGATCGGTGCATCCCTATACATAACGTAATAATAATCTAGTCATAATCTATATTTCTTAGGGTTTAAATGGCTGCAGATGTATCGCTGATACCTGTGATTTAGACTTTCTGTACAGTGGCTGCTTCATGGTCTCCGGCAGGTGGGCAGAGCCGAAGTCACCTACATCAACAGCGCTGAGCTCTGCTTCGTCCATACTGAAGTGACGGATGTGGTCCAGCGTGGAGAAACCACTGTGCTCTTCATCCTCCTCGTCATCATCAAACCTGAGTATATTCATATCAAGGGTATTAATAAGGAGTTTGTCCCCCTCTGCTGCAGTAACAGTCTCTACTCTTCTGGGAAGACTTTACACTAGAAGTTGGAAAATTTCTGTGAGGATTTGATTGTATTCAGGCACAAGTGCATTAGTGTCAGGTGCTGATGTTGGATGATTAGTTCTGGATCATAAAGACCACTCCAAAAGTATTGAGTGGTGATCCATCACTCCAGAAAACGCAGTCCCACCACTCCACAGCCCACAGCTGGGGGGGCTTTATACCCTGCTAGGTAATGTTCGGCTTTGGGCCCATGCAGCTACTCCAAAGCATCCCATTCCACTGGTAATGCTGTTCTATGAAGATCACATGACTGTGTGTGCACATTTTAACAATGTGAGCAATGAGTATTGCTAGTTAGATGGGGTGTCTGGACATTTTTGGACATACAGTGTATGTTGCACAGCTGTAAATAGTATTAGGAGCTGCATAAGCAAGTCTATTTGAGACTAACTCAAAGACTATTCAGGCCTACAGTGAGCACAATGCTAACTTATGGTGTATAAGCTTCCATTATTTGTTATCTAACATTAGCATTAGCCTATGATGCAAAAGAAGCAAACTTTGTACACCAAAGATGTCTTGGCTGATCGTTTACACTCAGGTTAAGGGGGAAAATATGTACTTTTGACAGGCAGGTGAGACTTGTTTTTGTGCACACACCTCTGTGGTGAAGATTTGCAGTTCATGTCCAGATCGTTTGGTCCGTCAAAGTCCAGGTCATCGTTGACCTCGTCGCCAAGGTTACTGGGTGAGGCCTTGTTAGTGGGTTTCCCAGCAGCATCGCTATGCTCTGCCTCCTCTTCCTCTGGCCCATGCTCCTCCCCTTCCTCCTCATCCAGGTCATGTGATCTCTGATTGGCCACAGCTTTGTCCGACTCAAAATGGCTGTCGTTCAACCTATGAATCGCAAAACATGATATATTCACTTAACCATCATCGCTGGTGATAACATTTACATGGTGTAAAATTATGTGAATTATTTCTCATTTATCACTCAGTAAAACCAGCTGAGGAACTCAAAGGAAAGTGCAGATTCCAAATCTTCAATGAATTCCACATCTGTGTAGCAGAGGAGCTTTTTTAATTATGATTCATATTTGATTAAAAGGTATTTTGCGCACATGGTGTTGTTTTGTGGTACAGAAGAACTCTAGACTTGCAAATGAGTTCAATGTCATTCTTCATAAACAAAATTCTCACAGCGGTTGACAGTTGTATTAGTAAGCAAAACTACACAAATAAGCACAGAAACACATACTCTTCATAATTTTGCATATGTGTGTGAGTAGGAAAAGTCTGTGTGTGTGTGTGTATGTGTGTATTTGAGCATGTTTTCTCTCTTCCTGTAGTCCAAATGTTAAAGGATGATGGAAAACATTTTGATGTTGTGAGGATCACCCCATGAGTGAGAATGCTTTTTAGAAAAATAAAATATCTTTTACTGGATAAAGAAAAAGAGGCTGACCCTGTGGTTGAGGAGATTTAGGGTTGGGTTAGCTGTAGCATAGCAGCTTTAACATACTGTGGCATCTGCTATGGGGTGCACAGCCTCTGAAGAGTATAGAAACTTGGCTATGGAAAGTTAAAGTGTGTATGTGTTTATTTGTCATTCTGTGGCCGGTTTGGGGGGGTTAATTAGAGTGGGTTTTGTTAGTAACTGTGAAGAGATAGATAGATAGATAGATAGATAGATAGATAGATAGATAGATAGATAGATAGATAGAAAAAATATGCAATAACATCTGTGACCTGTTTCTAGTTTCAGTTGCTTTTCAAGTGGTTTTTCTGCTGTGTTTAAAATAAAAGAACGTGTTTACAGCAAAAATAGCCTCCCCTGATTCTTCTTCTGCCAGATGCTACAATAATATAATACAGCAGTAATACAGCAATAAAACAGGCTCAGTTTGTGAGAGAGAAAGAGGGGTGTTGGCTGGCCAAGCAGTACAGCTCTCATCAGCAGGACACGTAATCAGCTCGCCTCTATTGCTGCTACTGTTTATTTTACAATCTCTCCATGTCTTTGTCTCTCTCTCTCTCTTTCGCTCTCTCTCTCTGCCTCTCTTTGGTCTCTCTGTCACTCTCTCATTCCCTCTCCCTGTCAGTCTCTGCGATTGACTGTCTATGTGTCACAGAGAGAGAGAGAGAGACATCATCAGAGCACAGCAAGCTAAATTGTTGCTACACAGACATACACACACACACACAGACACACACACACACACACACACACACAGACAGGCAGTCCAGAGGAAACAGGTCAGAGCGCGGCATTAAAAGTGATTCACTAATTATAGGTCTGGGGTCTCAACAGCACCAAAAAACACACATCACCTACCATCTGAGAGAGAGAGAGTGAGAGAGATAGAGCTTAAAAAAATCCCCACTTTATATGGAGATTGAGTTATCCCTATGATTAACAATGGGTAGTAGAGCAGGAAATGGTGGATCTAAGGAAGAAATGCAATATTTGCACACATACATACACACACAGTGACTACTCATTACAGGTGAGAGAGGGAAAAAGAGAGAGAAAGAAGAATAGGAAGAGGCAAAATCAGCCAGAAAAGGAAACGACAAAGTCATCCTGAAGAGGAAAAGACAAAATTGGCCTGAAAAGAAAAAGACAAAATACCCCTAAAGAGGAAAAGACAAAATAGCCCTAAAGAGGAAAAGACAAAATCTGCCTAAAGAGGAAAAGACAAAATTGGCCTGAAGAGGAAAATACAAAATTGGCCTAAAGATAAAAAGAAAAAATCTACCTGAAGAGAAAAGCAGAAAATCGGCTTAACGAAGAAACTCAGCTTAAAGAGAAAAAGGCACAAACTCTGCCTGAAAATAGAAAAAAAACAGAATCACCCTGAAGTGTGTGCGAAACAGCATGCCTGCGCAGAAGAGAATAAAAATGACAGAGAAATACATCACAGGCCTGAAAAAAGAGAGAGAACACTAGGCGAAGAATGAGTGAAAGCAAGTGGGAGAGTGGGAGAGAGAAAGAGAGAGAGAGAGAAGTATGGCGTGATGATGAAAACAGATTGGTTAATTAAAGGGGGGGAGTGTTGGTAATTTGCAGAGGATAAAGTATCTATCAGGAGCAGTCAACTTTGACAGGAAACACTCGGCAACCTCTGACCTCCACTCCTACACCCACTTCCTACTCACAAACACATGTTGGGACCAGATGTGGGCTGCTGTTAACCACACACACGCGCACACACACACACACGGCAGCCATACCACCACTGATTTACCTCCCATACTCAGGACTCTCTTAATGAGAGAAGGAGGAAAAAAATCAAACGGAGGGCCTGCTAGATCTCTATCCACCTCTGAAGCTGTCTGACAATCAAATCACAATCAAAGCAAACACACACACACACACACACACACACACAGACACAAACACACAGACACAGAAAAAAAAACTATTGAATAACCTTTGAAGATGTAACTTTTTTCTTCACTCCAGCGACTATCTCGCACTGAAAGGCTCACCACATGCAAAGCAGGCAACTGCTTGCAATCGTGTCAGATAAAACCCGCTCTAATCAAACCACAGCAAAATCCTGATAGTTGTGGCCAGCTTAACATGGGACAGAAATCAGGCACACTGTTTGAGGCTGAGACTGAATCCAACTTGATGATCAGTGAAGTGATTAGCATAATAATTAGACATACTGATAAGTACAGAGATATAGCAGGTAATGAACACACACACACACACACATAGGCAAAAGTCAAGAGTGTTGCAGCACACACACTGGCCAAGCACATCCACCTGGAGTCCGAGCCGCTGGCGACAGAGTAATTAATAACACACACACAGTTGTGGAGATGAAGGTTAATTAATAAAGTCTGAGGCGCTCCGTGTTCACTGATGTTTGTGTATAATTACCTCTCCGTCCTGCCTCCGGCAAGCAGTGTGAACTGAAGACTGACAGACTAATGGACTAAGGTCTGGGTGTGTGTAGGTTTTGTTGAAAAGCTGCTATGATCACTGAAGAGTTTCTGATGTTGCTCAGTTGTGGAACTTGCAGATTTTTTAATATTTCTCCACTATTCCTAGTATTCTGATGATGTCATGCAGTCCTGCTTCAACTTTAAGTTCATTCAGCAGCACAGTAACGGTTTGTTACGAGATAAAGCCATAACCGACTTAGCAAAGGCAGTAAAACTTTTTTTTGGGAGGAAACACTCATTTTAAAATGAATCTGTAAAGTGCATTGACCAATATATTTGAGTTTATCGCCTTGATTTTATTGGATTTGTTGCTGTAGTGATAACAAATGAAAGCTGAAAGCTGAATGGCCCACAGTGTTACTTCTGCTGCATCCCAAACTACACACTAGCACACTACATAGTATATAAAAGCAGTGCAGTACCATTAGGAGTGTACTCGTTAGCACTGGCATAGGAACCGGGTGGGATAGGTAGGAGAAAAAAAAATATTTTAAAAGCAAGACACAAAGGGTAGCGCGTTTTGCCAGCAAATCAGACAACCTTCCCATTTCATGCTATGTTGTGTGTTGGGCGGTGCTGGGCCTTCTTTCAGCCTTTGTTAAGGCTTGTTTTGAGGTGACTGTTCAAAAATAAAGAGATTTTGCCTAAAAAAACTTCCAATCACCAACTTCACTGGCCCCAGCTTTTGCCTCGCCGGACCCTCTGGTTGATAGTGAGGTTAGCTTTCACCAATTTTGAATCTGAAGTCAGTAATGAGAGCACAACAAATAGCAATGACAGCTAATTATAGCTATGAAAATGGCTTTTTATGATGAAATACTAGGAGGTGTTTGGATTAGCTAATGTTAACATTAACTATACTCAAGTTGTTGAAAAACACTCAGGTCATGTTAGTCTCTGACTAATCCAATATGTAAAAAACAGTACACCACCATTAGAAGTGCTTTCAGTAGTGTAGTATGTAAAGTTCCAGAGTGTGTTGTTTAGTCCATTCAGAATTGTTTTCATGCAGCTATTCAGCTCTGTGAGTTCAGTGGCAGATTCACAGTAGCAAACGTCTTCCCTCCAATGTCAAACCCACTCCTACGCCCCTGCTCATTAGTGTAGTAGATGAAGCACAGAAGTGTGTGATTTGGGATCAACGGATGCGCTCAACAGTCCAGCAGTGAAAGTGGAGAGGTACATGCCACAAATGGATTTCAAAAAATATGTTTTTGAATAAGAATCAAAAGCTTTCTGTAAGGTAGCTTTCAGATACCCGTTTGGTTCCTGTCAACACTGTTTTGAACAAATGTGACTCGGTAAGTTTCTCTAGGAAGGAATATTTCACTTCAAACCACTTGGATTGACTTTTAGTAATTTAATATTGCAGAATATTAGAAGAATTTCACTTTTACATACTTGTAGTCTTTTATGTGGAAATGTAAATCAATGTTAAACAGCAATGTTCAATAAATAATTTCATGTAGAAATTAATTAATCTCAATAAATTAATACAGAACTCGAAGTGTGTGGTCATAAGCATATATGTATATATAGAGTCTTATAGCTACTTTGAACATGGCTCGGCCAGTCAGATTTTAGAACTATTCATCTGATAATATTGTGAGCAGTTCCTCCAGTCACATTATCCTATTCAGGGAAAACAAAAAATCATTTCAGTACATCATAAAAATGTACTGAGGTCAGAGATTTACACCTCTACTAGTAAAGGATGAAGAGTAATGATATAGAAAGATGACAATGCTTACGCTTCATCGGAGTGTGGAGGTGAGGTGGTGTTTTGGCCGCTGTTGCTGATGAAGTTGCGGATTTCGTTGAAGTAGGAGTCCTCCTTATCGTCTAGAATGGCACTGCTGCTGTCCAGCTCTGATTGAGGGGACGACATCGCTGTGCCTACAGCAACAAACAGCAACACACACAGACATGAGAGTGTGTTTGAGTGTGTGAAATTACACCCTTAATCTCCAAGAACATGACGGCAGGTTACTGTAAAAGTTTTACTAGTTACTGAATAATTTATAGTATATATATATGTATATGTGAAAATAATTTAACCAGGTAAACAAAGAAACAATCACATAAATGGTCACACTTCATTCTGATAGTCCGCTATAGTGGGACATGCATTCAGATGTGTATTCTGAGTACGTGTGTTATACCTGATAAATTACCATTCTCGTGTTTTTTTAGGTGACGGTCCAGGTTGGTTTGCTGGCCGAAGCAGCGGTCACACAGGTGGCATTTAAAAGGTTTCTCTTTGTTGTGGATGTTGCGGATGTGACGCTGCAGGTTGGAGGAGATGCTGAACGAACGATCGCAGTATTTACACCTGCAGAACACAAACACACACACAGGCACATGTAAAAACAGTTTTCTCTGAAAGATGCTGCACATAATCTAACATGCAAATATAGATAGAATCTTTATTGCCACCAATCACACACAGTATACAATATATAAAACACATTGGTGTATATCTGTGGAGCACTCTTAGGACCCTCTAAGCTTACAGAGGCGTTCTAACGATTTCTAGCAACTAAAAGATACGTTTGTATTTTTTAGTTCATTTTTATTTAAGAGAATCATTTCATTGTTATAGTTTAGGGTTAGAATCATGAAATGCACAGTCAGGATTTTTCCCTCATGATATCTGTGTAGATCCAGCCAAGTGAGGTCTCTCATTGGTTAGTCCTTCAAGTGCTGGATGGCCTTAAACATTAGGTGAACTACAAACATACTTAGACAGTGACAGTTCAATCAATCAACCACATTTTGATTTCCAATAGGCGGAAATCCAGGAGTCCTAGATAGGCGACTGATGAGCTGTAAATGAGCCATAGTCAAACCAGGTTTTCAGTCAGTTGTTAGAAATGGAAAACAATGGTGGCAACTCTACAGCAGGGCTCTTTACTGAAACACTGTAAAACTGCTATGTGCAACATAAAATATATGTATATATCTCTGTTACAAGCTTCAAATAAAACACAAAAAGATTTTGTACGAGCTTCAAATGTCAGTGTTTAATCTAGAACAGCCAAAAAAATGTTCATGTTCACCAGAGTTAGCTTAGTGCTATCAGTATTGGAATAGAGTGCTAGCAGAAATTAGCATTATCTTAGAGTTGGGTTATCTTTATACACAAGTTAGATATGTTCTCTGCAGTTAGATATGTGAAGCTGCAGTAGACAAGCAAACATGATAGGAAACTCTATCCTAACACACTCACACACGATGGAACAGTTGCGCGTAGATGAACTCTTCTGTTCTTCTGTTCTCTCATCTTGAGCCAGTTTGGTAAAATGCTTTTCAACGTACAGTATTATCAGGGTGATTCTCCAGTCACAGTCCTCTCTGTCTCTCTCTCTCTCTCTCTCTCTCTCTCTCTCTCTCTCTCTCAGGCAGCAGTTAATGTTGATTGTTTGCTTTGTTTCATGCTTTGCCAGAGTGTGGAGATCGGAGGTTATCTGGCAGGCTACAATGGCCTGCATTACTCTCCATTTTCCATGTGTATTTGTATGAGTGTGTGTTTGTGTGTGAAATGTCTTTGTGCATTGGCCGATTTCTGAGTATTTAAGGGTTGTATACCGATCATATGTACGCGTATGGAGTGTATGTATCAGTGGTGAACTGTGCCTATTGAAGCCAGGCCTTGAGTTCGAGCCATACATACTGAAAAAAGCTCCATAATAATGCTCATTTCTGCTAGCGCCCCTATAGGATTCTAGTAACACGTTAGCACTAAGCTAATTTGTTAACATTTTTTGGCCATTCTAGACTAAACAGGGACATTTCAAGCTTGTGAAAGACATTTCATGCTTTATTTTAAGCTTATAACCAACATACTCACATTTTGTAGCAGTTTTTCAGTAAAGAGCTCTGGCATAAACCTGCTGTTTTCCATTTCTAACATCTGACTGGACCACATTGGTCAAGCTACCACACATACTTGCAGTCAGTGACCTTTCTAGGATATCCATAAAGACTAGAGTGACATTTTTCTTATCAAATTGGTCCCCATTTATTGTAAATCAAAACGTTATTCATGCCACTGTCATTTCCTAGTTATATTAGTGGTTAATCAGCTCCTGAAGTCCTAAACAATGAGAGAGCTAGCTTAGCTGTATCTACCTAGATAACAAAGAGAAAAAAATATTTTTTTAGAAACAGAAATCAAGCCTTAGAAGACCCTGAGGCCCTGAGACCCTGATATGGATATATGAAAGTGCATATGTGTACGTATAATTTTCTGAATATTTGTGACTTTGCATGTCTAACACTTACACGCACCTATATACAAGTGTGTGTGTGTGTGTAAAACAGACTTTATTCTCCAGCTGCCTTTGCTGGCCTTCTGCCCTCCTCTCCTCATCACCTTCATTTTTCACCAACTTCCTCCTCTCTCTCTCTCTCTCTCTCTCGCATGCCGTCACTGTGGCGACGGGCGCCATTATTCATCTCCCAAATTATTTAGCTGAATGATAATTGTTCCAGTCTTTTACGACGAAGAAAAACATGCAAGCCTCTCCTCTCTCTCTCCCTCTCTCTCCTATTTCTCTCTCTCTCTCTCTCTGAAAGAATGCACTCAGAAAACATCCGCAGACGCTACTAAAGCTAATAAAGCACTGCCTGATGTATATGTGTGAGTGTGAGAAGGAGCCATATGCACGCACGCTGTCATCACAGTAGTAAGTTCCCACACAACTATTTCACAGACACACACACACACACACACACACACACACACACGTATACCCACTAACACAGTTTTGTCTGTGCAGAATGAGTGTATACATGAGTGTAAATGAATGTGAGAGTGAATGTGTAAGCATATTTGCCCTCCTTCCAAAATAAAAGTCTCCAAAATGGTAAAAAAAGGACAAAAAACCATCTTAACTTTTAATGTAAGTAGGCCTGTCACAATTATTACATCACCAAACACAAGTATTCAAGATGATTGCAATTATTTGAGATGACTGCAGTTCATTTTCCAGTCGTTAGACTTCACAATCATATTGTGCCACAACAAGTGGAACGTGAATGTGTGTGCATGTGTGTTTGTGTCTCACCTGTAGGGCTGCTCTCCTGTGTGTGTTCGGAGATGCCGTGTGAGGTTGGCTGAGCGTGGGAATATTTTGCCACAGTATCTGTAAAGGAAGGAAACTCCTCTTCAGTCACAAATAGCCAGACATAACATGCACACACACACACACACACACACACACACAGAAACTACAACACCCTCACTCAACACTGCCTTCAAGCTCACAGAGCAAAACATTCTTTCATAAAAACATATATAAAATAAAATTACACAGAAGCATCAACAACTAAATGTAATAACAAACTTTACAGTGTTTAGCACATCCTCCCTCCTCCTACATTACAGCCTCCATTCTTTCCAGAGACTTTTTTTAATTTTCATGGAAATCTACAGGGATATGTTTCAGCACCTCCAAAGTTCAGTCTTAGAGGTTGCATGCATTTTGGCTTCTTATAACCCAATGGACTTTTTCAGATCTGAAGCAACAGTGGAGCTTAATTTCTCCCATCTTTTAGGGATGAAAGCTTAAAATACTATGTATCTAATGGTGACAGTGTTGGTGGTCTACCAGGTCTTGCAGGTGGTTGTCAGGAGTTCCATTTCCACTGTATGTTTTCATCACTTTTTGATCACCAGTTTTGGAAACTCCTCTTTCTTTCCATATTTTCCTTTGAATTTCTCCTTTCATTGTGCAATTGGATTATCTTAAATCTAATCTCCTCGGAAGTATCTCCCAAAAAATGCTCTTGTTCTTAATGGCCGATTGACTGTAAATTACATACAGGTTTAATTCCATACTTTTTGAATGTGTCTCAAACTCTTTGTGTTGGTTTGTTGAACTTAACGTCAGATATAAATCTGTGTGTATGTGTATTTTCATCGACATGGTTACCTGCAGGTGTAGCGCTCCTTGCCCTTGCGCAGCAGGGTCTCAGGCAGCGTGGTCGGTGGAGCTCGGAAATCAAACATGGAGGGAACGGAACGCATGATGTCACCAGCGTCTGACTTCAACGATCCGAAGGACTCCAACTTCTCCGCCATGTTCTCTATTGCTGACATCTGACAAAGAGAGACAGAGAGAGACTGTTATTTTTCTCCAATTGTCATTAGAATGGTCATTTGGTTCCTCAAACTCCTCTCTAACAGTCGAAGAGGGCAGGGACTAGACAGATTACTGTTCTAGTTCTATAGCAGCTTTCCACTTTGTGTGGAGCATAGATGGGAGTTTCAGTGCACTTCCGATTACTATAACTAAACTTAAGCATTAAATGAAACCAAAATTATTTCCAACTTTTCATTTAAACAAACAAACAATTTCAAGAGCTTCTTTCATGTTTGTAGTGTGGTTGAATAAAAAGTGTAGCTACCCCGTCTTGTCCCCACCCTCAGTCTTGCATGTGGTTAGAAATACTTCACAGGAAGTTGAGTAAAAGTGTCAAAAAATAAATAAACAAACACATATATATAACTTTAAACTGGCTCCTACACAAAATTCAGGCTTCAGTCTGGCTCCTGATACTGATTTTAGCTACGCAGCATACTTTTGTCCATTTTTGTAAACAAACAGTATGTATGAGTGCCAGAAACCACACAAGCAAGTCCATTTCTATAAGCTTATAGTCTATAAGCTTCATAACCCAAACAACTATATTTGGGTTAGGGGGGAAAATTTTGGCAAACTACTTTTGAAACAACATATCGTGGAGAGCATGCAGCAGAAATGTGGCCACACGTCTCCACGCATGTCCGGCATAGACAGACATTCATGGTTTCTATGGGTTTTTTCAGCAGGGTTGCTCAATGACGTCTACACAAGCGCATGTTAAGATAGGCCTCCTGCCACACGCATGTACACACATGCATACACACACAGGTACATGCGCACACGCACACACAGATGGATGTGAAAATGTGCAGGGACTGCTGCCAATTTGCTAATGAAGTTGAACGGCTGCTTTCATCAGAAGTGGACTAATTCTCAGAGGACCGCCAAGACACATGGACATGTCAGCCCGTGTGTGGGAACGGTTCACGGCCAGAGGTGTGTGTGTGTGTGTGTGTTTAAATACAGTTCTAGGCAAAAGTCTTAGGCAACTGAGAAAATGATCTGTATTTAAGCCTGATCACTGTATTTGGATACCCCCCCCTTTAGATTATCTACAGACATTCAAATTGTTAACAAACTATGTGTTCAATCCATCTGCAGTTGATTCCTAACAGGTTTAAGATTAGGGATAGGATTAGGAAGCAGGGTTAGGGTTTGGTTTAGGTTTTGGGTTGTGTTAGGATAAGGATTAGGGTCAGGGATAGAGAATGTTAAGCTACAGTGTGCTATTAAAAATACTTATAGTATATTAAATAAATAAAAATATTAGAAATATTAATTAGAATAAATTCAAAATGACAGTAGATTGTGATGTGTATCAGCATGTGTCATTTCCAGACTTTTCCTTGAGCAAGTCCAGTATTTAGTCACCATCCAATAATTTTCATGTCAAATTCTCTGTATTTGTGTTTATTTACATTTATTCTATTGCTACAGTGTTTTTACTGACAAACACAGTTACTGCTGATATGTCTCAGAAAAGTCTGAAAATCTGTGATTTCTTTCCATTTATTTTTAGAAATATGATGTCGCACTTATTTTAGGTCACTACTTCAATCTAGGCGTCTGTGACACTGACCATGTTGAGGCCTTTGCACATTATAGCAAATGGGACACAGTAAATGCTAAGAACTTCAGAAATTCCTAGAAATATATCAAAGTTTCTAGTATACTACTTATACTTTAATAGTTCACTGATAATATAATATGTAATGAAACATTTTGTATTAAATTAGAAAGGAATGCAACAAAAGCATGTATGTACAGGGATCTGTGTGTGTGTTCATACAGCATCCGTATTTCTAAGTGTGCATGTTTCTGAGTGAAGCGGTGTGTGTGTGTGTGTGTGTGTGTGTGTGTGTGTGTGTGTGTGTGTGTGTGTGGTAGAGAGCCGGAGTGATTCATGTCCTCTGTTGGGCTGTAAAGCATTCGGTGCACAATGTGAGCAGACAGCACATTCGTCAATATGAAAGATGTTGACATTACTGATCAAGGCCGAGACAGGGATAATAATGATATCGTCAGGCTGAGAGAGGAGAGAGAGGAGGGTGCGTGTGTGTGCGTTCACGGAGCGGGGGTCCCTGAGGGTCCCGTAACGCCTTTGCCCTTTCATACTGGACCCGCAAATTTGCATTATTTTGCGTGTATTGAATTTTCTGGTGTGGGTGCCTCTTTCTTCAATATGTATTTAATATGTTTCAGTGTGGGTCACAAATCAGACCTGATTCACAGTGAAGAGCACAGGCCAAGCATATACTCACAGGCACTGACGGGAAAAAAGAAATACAGAGTAAAAGAAAGAAAAAGAATGAAGAAAAAATGGAAATGGGGTGGAAAATTATGCAAAAAAGTGAGAGTGAGAGAAAGAGTGAACAAGATAGATGAAGAACAAACAAAAGCAAGAAAGAAAGCAAGAAAGAAAGAATAAAAGAAATAGAAAGTAAGAAGGGAAGTGAGTGAGAAGAAAGAAAAAGTGAGAGTGAGAGGAAGTGTGAACAAGATAGATAAAGAACAAATAAAAGCAAGAAACAAAGAAAGAAAGAATAAAAGAAATAGAAAGCAAGAAGGGAAGTGAGTGAGAAGAAACAAAAAGTGAGAGTGAGAGGAAGTGTGAAAAAGAAGGATGAAGAACAAATGAACAAAACAATAGAAAAAAGAAAGAACAAAAGAAAAAGCAAGAGAGAAAAAGTGAACAAGAAAGACAGAAACAAGTGATGAAGAGATAGAAAAAAATAAGAGAAAAAGAAAAATGAAAGAAAAAAATAACAAGAAAGAAGGAAAGAAAGAAAAAAGAAAGAAGAAAAAGAAAGAAGAGAAGAAGACAATAAGAGAAAGAAAGAAAGAAAGAAAGAAAGAAGGGAAGAAGACAATAACAATTAAAGAAAGAAGGAAAGAAAGAAAGAAAGAAAGAAAAAGAAAGAAAGAAATGGAAATGGGACGAAAAATGAGTGAGAAAGAGAAAGAAAAAAGAACATCAGTGGGAGAGAAAGAAAGAAAGAAAGAAAGAAAGAAAGAAAGAAAGAAAAAAAAGGAGTTGGAGGGAAGGTGAAAAGAGAAGAAGAGAGAGACAGAGAGAGAGAGAGAGAGAGAGAGAGAGAGAGAGAGACTAGGACAGATACTGATGGAATGGGAAAAAAGACAGAGCCAGAAAAAAACAATGAAGAGAGAAAGAGATAAAGAAAAAGAAAAACGGAATGACAAGTTGGAGGGAAAGGGATGCAAAAGAGTGAGACTGAAAAAAGAAAGAGAGAAAGTGTGAGAGCGAAAGAGAGGGAGATCTAATTGGCTGTGGCGGCTCAGAGTTACAGTCACATTCAGAACAGCAAGAGCCAGGCCTGCATGATCAGAGACATGCCAATACACTCAGACAGAGCGGGAGAGAGAGAGAGAGAGAGAGAGAGAGAGAGAGAGAGAGAGAGAGAGAGAGAGAGAGAGAGAGAGAAACAGTGCAGTTGTAATGAAAGGCTGTCATATTTCTGCATTTATATGCGTTATGCATAAGCAGCAGGTTGTTTATGGTGTGAGGCTAAATGCTTTGTTAAACTCAATAAAGGTCCTTAAATCTCACCACCATTAGCTGCACTAAACCTGTCCACTCTAACCAGCTCCACTCAACACACACACACACCCCAGCTCGTTTAATTTCAGTTTTATAAATGTTGCATGTTGGTCAGCATGTGTCTCCTCTCATGACCAATCTTATTTTAACAAATGTAAACCATTTAAAATGAATGTGAATTTGAAATCATAGCACATTTCCTTTTATATGTTTCTGTGTCTGGGAGGTTCTCAGAGCTAGTTTAGTGTTTCAATTGATGAGTGGTGCAGTAGTGGGGCCAGGGTGGGGGTGGGTGGGGTGTTCGGGTGGGGGTGAAACATGACATTATGGGTTAATATTATTTTTCCCTGCCCGCTGGTGCATGGTGATGTAATCAAAAGACAGAAGACATTTTCAAAGCGGGCACAATCAAAACACTTTGATTTAAGATTATGGAAAAACAAGAATTTTGTCTTTTAATGATGGGACATGATGAATCATGGCCAGGATGTGAACTAGCATGGTAAAAATCACAGATTAATATAGATAAAAATAGATGACGCTGTCATAAGAAGTACATGTTTCACTGCAATTACACTACAGGCCATTCATCAGGAAATGTTCACACAATGTTAAGCACAGCTTGAGTTTTTAAAAGAGGAAAAAATAAATAAATAAAAGTAATATATATGATTGTGATGGTATATAAATAAACAAATAAATGTATTTATTCCTATCAAATGCAAAGCTGTGCTATATATATTTTCTTAACTGCTGAGGAAACTTTCTCTCTCCCATTTTCCTCTCTCTCTCTCTCTCTCTCTCTCTCTCGTTTGCTCACCCTACATCGATAGTCGAGAGAGGCTTCATTAGTGAGATGCATTCTCAATTGTTGATCTTATCGGGGTACCAGATGTCTGGAAATTCCCTTACTCCCACCCACCCACCGACACACACACTCACACACACACCACTTGCACACACAGCATGAGAGGTCCCAGTGAGACGGTTGCCCCTTTGCTGATGTGGACCTCCTTCTGCTCCCCTCTCTCTAAATAATAGCACTCTCAAACTTTCAGTATTATCAGCAGCAGCCATCAGAAATAACAACTCAACAACTGCACTGGACGACTGATGAGTACACACACACACACACTCCTGCCCATACACAGAAATACACACATACAGATGCTGTAACACCTACACATAGTACTGTGCAAAAGTCAGAGACCACCTTTCACTTTAATTTCCAAAAGTAAAGTGTCATTTTTTTCAGTATTTAATGTGTCCATCTTTGTCTTCATCACACTGAGTTGTCTGAAGGATGGACACAAACTCCTGTGGATTTTTTCAGATCTGAAGTAAGAGTGGAGCTTGATTTTCTCCTCTCTCTCAAAGATGAAAGGTTTAGGTGCTGTTTATCTGATGCTGACAGCTCTGGTGGTCTACCAGCTCTTGCAAGTGGTTGTTAGGAGTCTCACTTTCTCTGTAACTTTTAATCATTTTTTGAAAATCAGTTTTGGAAACTTCATATATGACTTCATAAAGTCATATTTAATGCTCTCATCGAACTTAATGGGCATTTTGACAGGAAAGTAAATCAATGAAATGTGGTGTCTGACTTTTGCACAGTACACATGCACATACAAAACAGACACATAAACACATACCAACATCTCTACACACTGTTTTATCAATCGTGAACGGTATGATAAGACTGTGATGTTCACACAAATCTTTTAGCACACACACTGATGCTGTGCTAACAGTAATGGATGATAAATGGCTCACAGCAGTGGAAATAATGTCCTGTGATTAGAAATGATACATGATGGGCTGTTGCAGCTCCTCTGTGATAAAGCTGTGATTAATGAGCTCACTGACTGCACTCATTTATGGCTGACTGACTGAGAGACAGTGGGTGTGAGGAGCCATTCATATTTAATGTGTATGTGTGATTCATAAATGCATAGTCATTTATACTTCTGTGTGTGTGTGTTCATCATACATGACTGTTCAAAGATTTGCAATCACTTGCCATAGCAATTGTTATTTAAAAATGACTTAATAAACTAGACACAAATACATAAACAGATGTATTGCTCACAATTTAAAGTATTTTGGGAACAATAAGAAGTTCCGACATGGTAAAAAAATTGAAAATGTTATTAAACTATAAACTGTAATTCTCTGTCACAAAATTATTATGAATTGCTATGATGCATTCGGTATATTCATTATATTGGAGTCTTATGGAATCATCTACAGCTCAGTTTCTTAATATTTACAGCTTCCTACAAACTTTGAACCTAGAGAATATTAGCATATAATATTAGCATATTAGAATCTTTTTATACATGTATCTGTAATAAATTGATTCTTTATAATTGAAAATGGTGATTCCAAACTTTTGAACAATAGTGTATATCGTATCTCGTATCTCCAAAATGATAACTTTACAGGAAAAGGAAAAAACCTACTTTACTTTTAATGTAAGTCAATGGAACCAGACATTTTTCCTAGTCGTTTTGGGTTGTTTCTTTTGGCCCATTCTTACATACAATGTAAGAATACATTGTATGTAAGAATGGGCAACAGGCAGTTTTAAATAATGTCAAAAACTGAAAAATGACAAAAATGGAGATACGATAGCACGATATGCATAGATAAGTGTGTGATGTATTTGTATTTACAGCTAGTTTTGTGTGTGTGTGCAGAGATAAAATCAGGGATGTTTTAAGTGTGTTTTATCTCTACTTAAAGCTAGATGTTGTGTGTATCAGAGTCTTCTGTCATTTTGTGTGTTTGTGCTTGTTATAAATGCATGCATTGTTTTATCTGTATTTAAAGCTAGCATGTCTGTGTGTGTTGAGCTGTACAGAAATGTGTGGCCTTAGCAAAACTTACCCAGGTTCTCTGATCAGGCATGCGGAACTGGGGGCGGGACAAAAGGAAACAGCGAATCAAAATCAAGTATCACATTGATGAAAAGATTCTGATTGGGTGATGGAATGTCAGTGTCTGATCCTTAGCTCTGTCTGAAATGACTCTATTTAGGGGCAGATTTACTAAAAGAGGCGCTTATTACAAACAGCCTACTGATACTTGCTGTTGGAGGTGGTCAGTTTAGCGGGTTATCTACTAAGAACTTTTTCTGTTTCACATTGTTTCATATGTTTTACATTCTATGTTCTTATTCTGTTTTTTAGGTCCTTGTCGCAAGTGTGTGTAAATCTGTAAAACATTTTGCATCATAACTGCTTGTATGAAAGGTGCTAGATAAATAAAGCTCTGACTGATTGATTAAGTCACAAAGTAAAAAAATTACTTATTTACTTGAGACTTTGTCAAAGTCAAAATAACTCAATTTGAAAAAAATATGTGATTATTTGGAGAAAATAAGACATAATTTCAGCTTAATAAGTCAGAACTTTGAGAAAAAGCATAAACATTTTGATTTTTTTGTTTTCCAAACTGCCCTGTTAATCTTTTTTTGAGTGTGTTGTGCCTGTTTAGTACGTGGATGTTGTTATGTACTAGTATTTTGCACCATCGCAAACCCTTAGTATATCTGCCCCTTAAACGACAACTCCCAGGATACATCTCTTCCAACAATAATAGGTAAAATATGAAATACTGGGGCTGGTAAACTAACCCTAACCCTAACTCTTTTATTAGAATTCTATTTTCCGTAAAGGATCACTGCTAGCGGTAGCATTCGTGGTGCTGGTTGGTGTGTGCAGTGGGTGCACAGCAGTAAAGTGTATGCTGATAGGTCACCTCGTTAGGCTGTGTGTGTGGCGGGCATGTGGATGCTATCGAGCACAGACACTGAGCAGACATGCAGTATAAATCTGCCTAGTCAAACAGCCTGTAAAGTAGTGCCTGGAACAGCCTATAAAACACTATAACAGAGGCCTGTGTGAGTGTGTGTGCTGTATTAAAGTTCTTATGGAAGTCTAGTGATCTCAGGAGCAATGACAGTGAACACACACACACACACACACACACACACACAAACAGACAGTCCATTCCAGACACAAGAAAAGTATCTGTTTGTTTTAATGGGAAATCATATTGTAATGTCCTAGTAAAAAGCACACAAGTAGAGGGACATGTCACCACACAGATGTCTCTGCCTAGCACATCTGGACTGCATTATTTAGCATGGACAGACATGATTGCTAAAACACTGCACTGCTATGCAAAGCCACAGTGTATGTGCAACGTGCAAGTGGATGGAGAAATGCAGGCTGTTCTTCTGTAGTACTTGATAACTGGTAAATAGACAAACTTTGAGGGTAAGGCTCTCTTTGATATTCCCTTAATTTCTAAGAACTAACCAGGTAAGTGTCAGATACAAACTCCCAAGGTAACATGAGAGTTCCAAGTTCCAAGACTGTCTAACTAAATTACACTGAAATGCCTGACGAGTTCTATGTATTAACTGGTTAAATGTATGATATAATCAGGACTTGTATCATTATTTGGGGTAAAGTGATAGTAAGTAACGAGACAGTCTAACTACATTACACTCTAATGCCACAAGTTCAAGCAGGAAAGTAAATCTGAAAATACTCTAAGTAGATAAAAAGACAGTATAAAGACCGCTAAAGACGTGAGAGTCTTTTACAGTGTTTATCTGTTTATTACCTAGAAACAAACCTGCATCTGGGTTGTAAAAGAAAGCCTGATTCTTACTAAGGCTTTACAAGCTACTTACCATTTACCTTCATGCTTAAATGTGTGATAATGCAATGAAATTTAGTAAATGTTTGTACTTACCACCTTTTTACTCCAAATACTTATCCAATTAGGAGAGATCTTACTATGTCCTTCTTCACCCAAATAGCTGGAACCTGAACTGTCTGGGTACCTGCCCCCATTGCACTAAAATCAACAGCTCTCTGGAGTTTGTACTACAAACCCAGTTGATATCTTGTTAACCATTTCAGTGTGGTTCAGTTCAACTGTCTTGGAATGTACCATCATGTTACCCAAAATAATTAGCAAGTATTTTGAAGCTTGTGCCTCACACTTAACTAACGAATATCAGAACTTAAGAGACTGTAAATGAAAGCTTGACTGCTTTGTGGAGATGGAAATATGTGGATATAGTGTGGGACAGCTATGGGTAAAGTTGGAACAATGGGTAAAACGTCAGAGCAATGCTTGAAGAACACTGGGAAGAAAAACGGTGGGTCAATGTCTGGTGATTATAAGACAAGTGCTGACTGCCAGGAGAATATAGAGGAAATGTTCGGAGAATATATCAGCAATCTTACCTGTGGGTGGAAGAGGAATCCCGGTGTGGGACGCATGTATTTTTCTTTCAGCGCCTCAAACGGATCACTCGCTTTCCTCTTCTCAACCCTGCTAAAATTCAACTTCCATCAGTTCTTAGAAACAAGACTTCAGATATAAGTTTGAAAAAATTGATTTGCTTAAAAATTTTGTTTGTCTTATTATAGTGTTAAATGTACCATATTCAAGAATGGCCACATTACCATATTCAGTAAACAAAAACAGGTATGTTATAACATTTAACAAAATGAGAACAACTAGAGTATGTGAATGTGATGGGCTTGTGATTGACAGTACCTGTAAATGGGGTCCATGAAGAAGGGAGTGGGTCTTGCATGCTGGAGGGAGGGGTCTGCTTTAGGAGCATCTGCCTCAAACCTTTCTTCACCAAATACGTGGTTCTTCCGTGACTCCTCCCCTCTGATACGTGCACCTCTGCTTCGCCCACCCAGACTCAAGTCCAGCGGCTGGTCCTGATTTGCCGAGGGTACGTGTGATGCCTCAGGCTTTGAGGGGGTATAGGTTGGAGCCAGGCGTTCCTCTTTGCGCTTGGTGGTGAGGTCAAAGGGTGACTCAGCGCTCCTGCCCTGTGGTCTCTTGCTCTCGGCCGACGGGCTCTCCGCCTCCCCCTTGTGGGTCTGAGGTCGGAGCTGTTCTCTCTCATGGAAGGGGTACACTGGGGGTGAAAATGCAGGAAAGAAGGACAGAGGAAACATGGAGGGGTATGGTAGAGTGCCCCCTTTTTTATCATGCAGGCCAGCCAACCCCGTGGAGCCGAAATATTTCTCTGCTATGGAGGCGATGGCCTTGATGGAGTCATTGACTGCTCCGGAAACTGCAGTGTTTTCATCCAGAGTTGGAGAGAAAAGTCCCGGTGGAGGCACATTGCTCCCATTACCGTTAGCTGCATTGCTGCTGCTGGAGCTGCTGACAAGGGTGGGACTTTGTCCAGCATTAGAACCACTGGACTTCCTCTTGGGTCCTTTCCCATTTTCCCTTGCCCTGTCTCGATCGCGATCCCGGTCGCTCTCTGCATCGCTGTCCAGTTCCGACCCAGAAGTGCTCTCAAGTTCACTTCCACTGGGAGTGCTGACGTCATCCAGGTCACTGCTCTCAGACTGGTCACTCATCTTAGGCTTGTGGCCGGAGCCTTCTCTCTGGTGCTCCAAACTGTCTTCCCGTTCCCCATTCAAAGAATGCTTGCGGAAGCTTTTCAGAAGGTCATGGGGCTCTTGAGCTCCAGGGATAGACAAGGGACTCTTCCGAAGGTCTGTCCCCGGCAGACCCTTTACAGGTGAAGTGGCTGGGATGATAGAAGGCCGGTGGTACAGTCCAGATGGGAAGAGTCCTGGGAAACCGAATGGGAATGCTGGCGGGGCAGCTGGGAACGTCAGTCCGCTGTGGTGCCGGTTGGCTCCAAAATAGTCTGCCAGACCAGCTGAGCCAGGTCCCATCCCAGCAAGAGCAGACTTGTCCAGTCCAGGGCCACCAGGGAGAGAAATGCCTGGGCCAAAGAGCCCTCCCGCGCCAGCAAAATGGTTCTTCCCCTCACAGAAACGCCGATGCTTGTTGAGTGAGGAGGTGGTGCTGAACAGTTGGCCGCAGTCTTTGCACTTGATCTGTGTCCGGCAGTCAGCATGCATCCGTTTGTGTCTGCATAGGTTCGAGAACTGGGTGTAGGACTTGTGGCAAACCTCACCTGCAGATGATGAAACACACAAACACAAACACCATAAGAGTGGAGGGGAGATATGAATATCCAATGTCTCATACATATACAGTGCTTACAGAATTATGATGCATTCAAAATGTCCTTGTCAACTTTTTGGAAAACACTACGTATATTAATTTGGATGGACCAGTACCAGCAGAGAATGTACTGGCGGATGATATGCCACAACTCGTGAACTCAGGTAACATGGAACATGCCCAAGTTTACCACTTGTATTTACCAAGTTGTCAGTTGTTTGACTCCCTGATGTAAACTCAAAAATTCATAAATTTATGAGGACCATCTGAATGCACCACAAGAGGGCAGAGAAGGGCATAAACATGTTAAAGACACCAGCATAGACAAAATTACAGAGGCTAGTGACTGCATGCCCACTCGAGATGGGTGCACACGATTGTTCTCTCCCTCACACACCCACACTCAGAACGATATGGTGACACAATGACACACAGTGACAAAAGGACACAGACTGGGACTCGGAGACAGAGACAGCACAATGGCTCTATTTTGGTCGTGAGAAGGAAACTGAATTGAATGAATCCTATCCTGCAGGTCCGTTCCCATGGACCACACTCACTGACCTGTCTCTCTCTCTCTCATACACACACACACACACATATATGCCATCTCAAACAGTTTTCAAACTTCTTCAAAAGTTTCTTCATGATTAAATTTACACCAACAATGTCAATGCTGTCTCCTCAGGATCTTTAGGCTTTCAGGACTAGATGAGAAGGCGCAACACAGAATGTGCTTTGATGCAGCTGCAATATGCGTTTACAGTGCAACTGAAATTAATATTTATTTTTCTAATACTGCTGCTTACCACACAGACATTAGACTGTGTACTAACTGTGCCACGCTTCTGAGGCACAGCGTTTAAAAGGGGTAGTGAAAAAGTGGAGCTGACAACAAGCTTGTCACAGCTTGCTACCGACACGTTCTACAAAGGTGTAATTCTGCTACTTCGTCTAGTTAAAAAACAGAATTTGGGAAACAATAGTATGAACCATCAATGCCATAACAGTCACTGAACCAAGAATGCTCAAAGAGGGACCTGCAGGCCAAAGTTGGGACACAAAGTTGGCCCTCCAGAAGGCTGCCCTTCACCTTCAGCCAATGAGAGAACAAGTATTTTAATACAACATCCTAATGTACATAATGTAGCTCTTTTTTATAATGTTATTTTTAAGGTTCTTGTGCTGTCACCATACAATTGTCCCACAGTGCAACACAGATCTAACAACACACATGCAGCTAGCAGTTACAAGACAACGGAGTGTAACAGGGGTTGGTACATGGTCAAAAGGAGGTTTAGAGTTTGGAGACCACCAGGGTGAAGAATTTGTTTTCACTAAAGGCAAAGAAGTGTGCCTTGTGTTTAGCAAAACCAACTGGGTATTTAAAGAATACATTTTACTGGCAACGTGTGTAAAGCTAACAAGTTACCAGCTAGCTGTTTTGTCTTTTTGGCCTCTGGCGCATGACAAACATTGCAATTTTGCCTACAAAACAAAAGTTTTGGCACCCCTGAACTAGATGAACTCCAGAGGAGTTGTGAGAGTGTTATGCTTGTAAATATTCTTTCAGCACAGAGGCTATGACCGCGGCCATTATTAAAGGACGTCTGCCAATAACATGCCTCACTGCCACTAATTTACGCCTGGTCCTGAAAGGCAAAGAAAAATTCATGCAAAGGTGCCTGCTGTAACTTGAGTAAACAATATAAACATATAGTCAGCTGCACTTCCAATATGTGACTAATTTTTTTGAAACCTGGCGCAAAAGACTTCGACGGTTTCCGCTAACACATTGACTGTCTCCATTCGCAATACGCTTGTCTGCTCACACTGTGTACTGTATATAGGCAGCACTCCAGCACACTAGCAATGACTCAAGCTTAACGCCACAAAAACCCCATCTATATCCCCAACGCAACACCTCACATGAGAAACTAAGCCTTTAAAGCTTCATCATAACTCACTCTAATCACATCTCTCATTAGCCAGGCCAAATTTATGGAAGGTTAAAAGAGATTGTGTAGTGGGAGAAGGTGAGGTGTGTGTGTGTGTGTGTGTGAGTCAGCGTGTATGAGAGGGCATTAAGTGTGAAGTTAGAGTGATCTTAAGTTCTACTCTTAGCTCTGTTTATGACTTAGCTCTCTCCTCCAGGCCCGGATCAAAAGACCAAGAGTAAATATTAGTGTGAAGGCTGAAGACGACACTCTGTGTGTGCGTGTGTGTGTGTGTGTGTGTGTGATCATCTCATCCTTCCTGTTCAGGCGAGTGTGCACATAACTCTCTCTCTCTCTTTCTCACACACACACAGGATGAGCAGGTGTGAAATCTGTAGGGTAGGTGTGTGTGTGTGTGTGCGTGTCTGTGTGAGAACAGAGAGATATGCACTTTCTGTGTGTTTGGCAGCTCTTCATAAACTGTAACTAAATATTATAAACACATTCCAGAGTGCTGAATGTCCAGTGGTGGAATTAACGTCAAGTGTAGAGACATGACAGTGTATGTATGTGTGTGTTGGGGAGGGGGGGGTCTGTAAGTTTCTTTGTACTGCGTAAATACAGTGCTGTGCAAAAAATGATATGTACAGCTTTTTATCTATCAAAAAACACTAACATTAGATTAAAAACAAATAAACCAAAAAGCAATAATTTGTAATTTTATGCGTTATGTGTTTAATGTGTTAGCTTAACCTGTCTTTGAGGGAAGCCTAGTATTTACAGTTATCATCCAATCCCTAGTTTATATAATCAATCCTTCATTGAATTAAATCAGATGTACTCATGATGGAATTGAATCAAACAAAGTCAGGCAACAAACTTGTAACTAACTGCATTCCTCTAGCTAACATATTAATTTAAAAAGTTAGTTTAAAGTATTTATGTTTATTTGTATTTATTGTAATGTTATTTTACTGGCATAAACACACTTACTGCTGTGATAAAAAGCCATAAACAATTTTCATGGTGGCTTAAGACTTTCGCACAGTACTGTACATGGGTATGATTATGCATGGTGTATGGTGTCTTTTTGTATATATTGTTATAAAGCATATGTGTGTGTTTCCTTGTCTGGTCTTTTTCTGATATTTTAAAAGTACCACCTTCTATTTTCATTGACAAATGGACAAACAGAAATGGTCCAAAATGACTTGGAATTACTTGGAATAGAACCCTGTGACATGAATCCACTGAGCCACTTAGCATTGCTGGATGAAGCCATTAGTTGACGGGGAATTTAAACCTAACTTTGGACAGCTGACAACTGCACTACATCAAATTATTCAGTATTATTTAATATTACTATTGATTTCAATTATTACCTAACAGTGGAGAATCGCGACTATTACAGCTAGGCCTTCAATTTGAGAAATAAATGTAAAACTCAATCGAAGCATGAGGAAAACCCACTTCTACTATAACGCTAATGTCTGCTAGCATCCCTATGGGATTCTAGTAGTTTGTAAGTGCTATGCTAATGGCAATTTGCATTTGCATTTTTTTGCAGTTGTAGATTAAATACAGAAATTTACAAATTTTAAAAGACATTCGGTGTTTACTTGAAGCTTGCGACAGCCATATTAGGTATGTTACACCTTATAGCAGTTTCACAGTGACTCTTTCAGTACTGAGCTCTGGTTTAGAGCTGCCGTTCATTTTTATTCCATAGAATCATGATCAAGAATTGCTTTTCTTTGTGGTATCCAGGCAGATATAGCTAAGCAAGCTCTCCCATTGGGTAGAACTCCTGGAGCTGAAGAGAAGCACTAATGTGTCGAGGACTTCTAGAACACCAAAAGTGCTGCTTTTTTCTCACAAAATTGGTCCTGCCTATTGGAAATTAGTAATTATGCTTAATGTAACACATTAGTGCTTCTCTTCAACTCCTGAGCCCAAAAAATGAACTAAAAATTACAGACATGTTAGTTCCATATTATTGTTTCCCAAAATTAGTTCCCAGGCATTCTCCAAAGGCCTAGATGGTCCTGAGGGTTCCCCTCTGTGATCTAATGGTAGATTTTATTTTACTGTCGCCATAATTCGAAACATCAGGTTTCAATTATCACTTTGGGTTAGTCTCGGACAAAACGTTGCACTAGGTCAGTTTCAGGTTCAAAACTTAATGTGTTTTGAGTTTGATTTGGGCCAAATTTCAGGCTCGGGAAAGGTTTGAACTTGATGCTGTTGGACTCAGAATGTTCTTGGCCTGTAAGTGGATTCAGACCAAAATTTTAGACTCAACTGAAGCTCTAGTCCATTTTTATTGTTTGCTTATCTACATTTAAGCATTGGCCTTTTGGTCAATATATGCGAAATTCAGACATTCAGTCTAACTTTTGGCTGGTATGTTACATGTGTGCACGCTAAGTAAAACCACATGTATTTTTGTATTTGTGTTTTCTACATTACTTTTGGGCTGAGTCATTCAACTTTCTGATTTTAAGATTTAATCCGGATGCAGGTAACACGTACACTTTCTGCTCATTTGCAAGTGGACCATAAGCTCTGAAGTGGTTCATGTACAGTTCATGTGCAATTGAAGTGGATTCACGTCAAAACAAACAAAGACCCCCACAGATGCAGCTGCTGGCTGGGCTGCTGTGCGTGTGTGTGTGTCCCCGTTAACGTGGTCATTAGCTGTTGTTAGAGCCGCTTGTTTAAATGCTGATTGCTGTAAATGGCTGTGTACTGAGCCCATTGGAGGCATGTGGTAGCTATTTGTCTGGAATGGCCGTCGTTGGCTAGTTACCGCCTGACCGAGGCAGCATGGCCACGCTGAGGTCAGCATATGTCTGGTCAGTGCAATGAGGGTCAAAAGTCATGCACAGGTTGAAAAGTCCAGTTTCAATGGTAAAGATCATTGGGTAATAAAATAAGGTGACAATTGGTGGTGTTTCAATAATTTTGAAAAATGGTTAGTATTGAAACAGACCCTTCTTGAGGTCAAGAGTGACAAAAGACAGCGAAGGAGTTACTGAGCATCACTTTGGATTAAACTGTAACTCAAAATTCGCTAAAATTGTCACTACCGAAACAATCACTACTGAAATATTTGATAAAGTTTCAGAGGCATTACTATTGTACTGGTAATAACACAATGGAATCTTAATTTGTTTTAATAAAATAAACTTAATTAAGATAGAGGGTCACTCAAGGCAAAAAGTCCAAGTCAGTTAAAAGTCTGAAATGTGTTTTGAACTATGACTTTAAACCAGTTCACAGTTAGAATGATCCATATATGGACCGACTGGACATAACTTGCCCTGTGACCACATGTTATTTTTATACGCAGAGATGGCATGATACCACTTTTTCATTACTGATACAAATATTAAAATGGCAGATACTGATACTGATACTAATGCAGATATTTCTTCTTTCTGTTTCTAAAACTACTGAGCTTTAAAGTGACCTACTTCACTTAAGATGAGTAACTACTCACTCCATTTACCCCACATAAAGAACAACACAGCTAACAACTTCACACCACACAATGTGAGTGCATGCTATTTCAGGGCAGATTTGATACAGGATTGATTCAGATTTCATTATTTTTTCACTGTCTGATCTCCAATCCGGCATTTTCTCTTATCTGAAATCGGATTGTGCCTTCTCAATTTATTTATCATAACAAAACCTCATCACTCTGAAATGGTAACTTTAAGGGGGAAGAAAACACATTTAATGTATATCATGGCAAACAGGTTGTATTCAAAATAATTTTGGACTAATTTCTATTGGTATTGAGTCATTATATTGGTCCATTCATCATGAAATTCAGTGTAAAAGTCATACAGTGTAAAAGGCAGCTTGCATTTTCAAATAATGTGAAAAAATAATAAAAGTTGTTACACAGGTGGAAGCTCAGGACAGTTGGGCACAAGCAGACAGACAGACACACACACACACACACACACACACACACACACACACACACACACACACACAGAGACATACATACACAAATATTCCTGCTTTTGGGAGAGAAAATATTCTTGCTTTTGGGAGAAAAAAAGTGTTAACAGCAATGCTCACTCCTGCTGTAAATAATTCAGTACATTTACAAATATTGACATACACATTTTTACCTATTTTACAAAAACTACACAACACAAACTGAAACAATAATATGTCTTCTAAAGACCAGGCATGCATACATGACATCACAAGTGCTGGCTGGTCCAGGTGTAGAGGAAAGCGCCACCAAGTGGTAAAAAATGACAGGTGAATGTGATGCGATGACTGACATTGCTAAAAAAAAATTATAAACAAAAAACAAAAGCATGGATGTGCAAAATATTACAGATCAAGTCACACAAAAATCACCTTATAGTTCTTAAAAATAAGGATGCTACCCAGGGTTCGTTTTATGATGCCATAAAAGAACCACTTTTGGTTCACTAAGTAACCTTGCAATGAATGCCCAAAGACCAAAAGTTTGGGCCCTCCTACTTTAAAATGTCCTTCACACTCTGAAATCTCTTTTTCAAACATGGTTCTTCTAAGGCATTGATCGAAGAACCCTTTGTGGAATCTCTTAGTGAACATGTAGGTAAAAAATGAAGTATCAGTGTAAAAAAAACATCAAACAAAACATGCTGTGAAAAAAGCCCATGCCCCAAACTTAAACAGTCGAGCAATGGACATTTGGATAAAAACTTGGTGGAGCTTTCCTGGGCCTTTTTTCCCCTTTTTTCAAAGGTTATCAGATCAGATTTTTGGCTTCTAGAGCAGATTTAGCCTAATCCTGCAATCTGGCTGTTGCGTCGGCAAGTTCTCGGATTGAGGGCCATCCAGAAGCTAAAGATCCAGTCGGATAAGTTTGAATGCGCCAGCCCCCCAGTGTGTGTGTGGTGCGGTGTGTGTTGGAGTAAGAAGCGTGCAGACTTACATATGAAGCGGGTGAGAGACTTACATATGAAGGGCTTGACGGAGGAGTGGATGTGTTTGTGCTGTTTGAGGCCAGATGAGGTGGCGAAGGTTTTGCCGCATTCGGGGCAGGCATGGGCCCGGGCGCCGACGTGCTGAGAGCGGATGTGCCTCTGCAAGTTACTGGGGTCCGTAAACACCTGCTGGGGAGAGCCAGAGAGAGGGCGAGAGAGTTTATACACAGGCATTCAAATTTTTGGAATCACTATTTAGCTATTCTCAGTAATATAAGGCATACACATTTAAAAACCATTCTACACTTCATATGTCAAGAAATGCCTACAAATAGATAGTTACTACATTATTGGTTGCTTCAAGCTCCTCAGGAGGGAGAAGAGCAGCTTCATGTAGAAATTATACTTAATTTTAGAGTTTGGTATTTTTACCAAAATGTGTTTTTAATTAAATCCTCTGTGTTCTTATCTATAACAATGACACATATTAGCTGTGTTTCACTGTAAAAAAGTCACTAAATAGGATGCTAGTGGCAACACTATATGAAAGGCCTATTTCTGAGAGGTAGAGCTAAATGTCTCACTCCAGTTTTTTCTTCAGGGTGAAATAAACTTTGTATCGTTCCATGGACCAACTCTATGGCTGGAGTGATAAACTTTGTGATAAATTTTTCATTATGTAAAACCACCAGTATTTCCAAGTATTTCCGATATATTCAGTATGTCTAGGACAGTTCCCAGTTACACCAGAGAGGGCGACAAGGCCTTAAGGCCATAAGCCTACGTTCAACAAATACAAAAAAAGCACTTCAAGTAATAAAACATAAATATTCATCTAATGCACAGAGCCCTGAGCTGAAGCAGAGCCTCAATCTCGAGCTGGTGATGAACTTATTTAGCAGAATGGGCTGTTACACAGTGTCTGCAGCATTGAGGTGCCGTTGCTACAAGACAAATTACAGATTTGTCGTTGTCACTACTTAATGAACCCTTTTTTTTTATCCTCTTCTTCTTCCCACATTTACAGTGTTATTGGGCACTGGACTTGATTTGAAGGTATCAGTGTATTAAATCCATAAAAAGAGCTCATTGGACAAATGTAATTTTGAATAAAACCCTCTTTCTGGTTTTGTTTCAATGAAAATCTGAACTTTTAGTCAAATAGAGCCATCTCATCATGGTCAACAACTTCAGGGATTTAGGCCTTTGTTCACATTACAAGCCTTACATCAATGAATGCTTATGCAAACAAATGTGTGATCAAATTTACAACCAACAACACAGTTGAAGGCAAACTCTTCCCATTGGTTGTCATTGTGTATTTTTATCTTTGAAAATGATTAATGTGCTCTGGACTGTAGCATTAAAAGCCATGAAGAATACAATGTCCTTAAAACCCTCTTAAATGAAGGTCACATTTCTTGGCTGTGTTCCAAGGTTCCTTCAAAACAGGACAGCACTTATGAAGTAAATGGGCGATCAATGCGGCCTGTGTAGAATAAAGGCCCTTAAATGGGACGTGTCTTCTGTGTAACACGCACATTCACTCCCTCTCTCTCGCTCACTCGCGCAGTAATGCCTGGACTCTACCTTTGAGCAGTTTTCACATTCGTAATGCTTGCCGCTGTCATGTGACATCTGGTGGCGAATCAGGTTGGACTTCCAGTTGAAGGCCTTCGGGCACTGGTCACATTTATACTCCCTCTCCTCCGAGTGAGAGAGAGAGTGAGCCTCCAGACTGGGTGGAAGGGAGAGAGCAAGAGAGGGAGATGAGAGACAGAGAGAGAGGAAAAAATGACCTTTTAGACAAATAAGAATATTTTCATAATCTCATCATTCCGAATTTGAAAAGAAAAGCGCTTCTTCATCTCTGCAAGTGCCTGAAGGAGAATCCCTGCCGCCACCTTGAAAGGCATTACAGTGTTTGAAAGGGTAAAAGCTGCTGTAATGTCTTCAGACACTGTAATGTTAAAAGTTCATTAGTTGATTTATATCTTCTGCTTATAGTACAAATAACAGAAAATATGCAAAACATGATAAAAAACAATTTTTAAAGCAATGGCATAAGCATAAGTTTATGATGTGCCTGAGAATCCTGGTTTGGAAAACTGCAGGGTGGAGCAGAGGGCTTGTCTGTGTTTACACTGGCATCCTGTCAGTCATTCTATATGAGCATGCCCTACACCACATTACTCCCACCTCTGTCTGTTTAGCTAAGAAAACATGGCAGAATCTGGTTAGCGGCATGTGCCATGTGGGGGAAAATACATTGTGCAGAATTAGTGACGTTCCTTGTGGCGGCACTTGGACAGGTATGTAAACACAATACATATAAAGTTTGATATGAACTGATTTTGATGAACGACCTTCATAGAGATTTTTGAAATACCGGTCAATTGCATCAAACTTCTGTGCGGGTAACAAAGTGAACTATACGAGGCTGAAGTTAGCTTCTCATTCAAACTTTCGGTTCCACCTTAAATGCTGCTGTACTATGCAACTACACACGAATTGTGCAGAGACCAAAAATTGTCAAAAAACAAATTAAAATATCATCTATTTTAGATTATTTTGGGAATTAACCCCACTTTGTCTTGATGCAGCTTTATAAGCAGCCACCTTGAATGCCTGTCCAATTGGATTGTAGAAAGTACATATACTGACACACATGCTGAGAGCTTTATATATTTATATATACTTGGAAATAATTTTGTACACAGGCATCATCTTCACATTAGTATTTGAGAAACTTAGAAACAAATTTAATTAGCCTTTAGATCAAGATGTCTTTGAGATTATAAAAATAACATATCCAGTTATGTGTGTCCAAACTTGTGACTGGAAATGTATGTCAGGAAAACTAAGCCCCTCCAAATAGTACACAACTCTAGTAACAATGGCATTACCACACCCCCTTATGTAAAACATATCATCTCAGAAAAGTTTGATGATCCAAAGCCTCTGCCAGGTTCAGCATTTCCGTGTGAATGTTCTCACCTTTGAGCATCAGGAAACACCTGCTCACACTCCTTGCACTCCTGTGGGGAGTGTGCTGAGTGCAGCAGGAGCGGGTGGAGCTCAGTGCTTTCTCCGTCACTGGCCGGGATGCCCTGCTCAGGCAGACTGAAATGTGACGGTGTCCGGATGGAGCAGGACTGCTTTTGATGCTCCAGCAGCTCAGGGCCTGAGGAGAAGTGCTGCTCACAGTCCTCACAGCGGAACTCTCGCTCCTCTACAGACACCACACCACAGCAGAGTCAATGCAAGATATGAGTTTGTGCAAGATGGAGAAAGGATATTTGAGCACTGTACCAAAAACCACCCTTCATTTATTTCATTTATTTTACAGAAAATTTCACAGACGCCTCAACACTAAATATAATGTCTAATTACAAAATATAATTCTTTGTCTTAATTACAGCATCCATGCTTTTCAGAGGGCTATCGGTTTTACAGGTATCTGCCCTATTTTTCCACACCAATGAAAGCTTTAGTTAGATGTTCCCTCTCTCTCAAAGATGAAAGCTTGACAGTGACAGTGTTGGTCGTCTATCAGGTCTTTCAGGTGGTGGAGTCCCACTGTGTCTGTATCATTTAATACATAGATATATATTTTCCCCCCACTTATTTTCCTTTGACTTTCCTCTCCCTTGTGGAAGTGGACTGTCTTGTGTCTAATCTCCTCTGAAATATCATCTGAAAATGAATAAAGTGTACTTCATGGCCAGCTTTGACTGGAAATTAAATAAATGAAGGGTGGTCTCTGACTTTTGCACAATGCTGTGTGTGTGTAAATGCGAACTGTGAGTTTGTAAGTGTTCACGTACCATGTATATCTGGAGCCATTGTGTCACATGAAAACTCCTCAGCCTTCATGAACAGTATGAGTTCTTCACTAGGATGAACCTCACGGACCACACGGTAAAATATCTACACACACACACACACAGAGGGAAAGAGAGCACATTGAAAAATTTAAATACACAAAGCAAACTGCACGAAAAAACTGTAAAGTGAACAAAAAACAACAAAAGAGCAATCAAAAACCCACACACCAGGGCTGGAAAATACTTAAATATTGTACTTAAGTATAATTTTGGAAGATTCATACTTGAGCACTACACATTAAAAATAAACACAAACATATTTCACAGTTTTCACATTTTCATTCAGATATTTAAAGTACACATATATTTAAAGTACACACAAGGCCAAGAGATTTTCTCTTTTTGTTTCGATTGTTTTTATTAAAACATATAACCAAATCCACATCAGTGTAAAATTAAACTGCCCACAGCTATGCTGTTTCATATTTGTATGAGGACAAGTACTGCTGACTAGTCACCGCATCACACACACAAAGAAAACCTTTCATTTATTTCTTAAACATTTACCTTTTAATTTTATATATGTGCATATTTTTGGCCCCCTATTTCCACTTTTAATGAAATACAATTTTGACAAAGTACATTAAAGTATAATTTCTCTGTACTTTTTCCACACCAGCCACACCCACAAAAAAACAATCAGCAATGCTACATAACAAATAAATGTAAAGAATTTACAACACACGCATAATTATAGCAATCTAAAATTACATGGAGCCAGTCAAGTGGCCATGCATTAGTTCAGCATTATTGGATGGCTTAGCCTGCTTGGAGGAGAACACTAACTGCCAATTCTGTTACGTCAGCTAACAGATGACTATGTTGGCTAGCATTGCACTAGCACTGCACTCAGAAAGGGCGGGGTTAATTATGCTCCCTTGGACTCTCGGCCACGGATGGCTGACGATAGGGCCAAGGGGTTCCCTAACTTCTTGGACAAATGACTCCAAATATGCAGTCATATGCAAAAAAAACTGAACGCCCTATACAGGGAACAAACTTTGGCATTTTTCTGCTAATTTTAGGGCACAATTTCTGTTTATTTGCAGAGTTTACATTCTTTATTTATTTAAATGTGGCATATTTGAATGTGACTCAAAGTAACATTTCAAAATAGCAGCACACAAAAACATTCTTCACATTGTCAATTTCTAAAATAACTTATTACAGCCAAAGTGGAAATCCTGAGTTCCTCCTACGACCCAATTTGTACGTCAAGTTACCCCACACAACCTGGGGAACCCCTGTCTTAGATGGCTGCACCACTTGAATCTTCTTTTTATTGAACTGTTTTAATAATACCCATAATACATCCCAGAGCAAATCAATGAACAACCAATCAGCAAATATTCCAATGGACCTCATCCTATTTTGATTTTGAAAATAAAGTGTGGGCCTTATAACACGCATTCACATACACACACTCACTCACACATTTCCCCTGCAAACACAATAGGTAGGAGGAGAAACAATTGAGGATGGTGTTATTTTTGGCAAGCCTTGAAGGGTTCGGACCATTCACTTCCTTCACAGCCTGACGGTGACATTTCAGCATTCTTATTAGATGCGACACATACACATACGCTCACTTGATAAAATGATAAAGGCGTGTCGCGTGGGGGCTTCTTGGAAAACAAGTGGTCAGAGGAACATCGCCTTGGGACACAAGGCTGGACTGATCTGTGTGTATGTATGTGTGTGAGAGACGCGGAGGAACGGCATGTTTCCCTATTGTTTTACAAGAGAATACAGGGAACTAAGAGAACGCTTGCGACAGCATGAGAACGGCCACTCTCTCTCTCGCACACACATGGGAGCAGATAAAAAGACAGAAAGCCAATGGGGCACAATAATATTGTGAGTCTGGGACAATGAGAGAGCACTTCAAACAGCGGCAGGGGGGTTCGGAGTGAGCAGTCAGGCCCCGACTGGGGGCCAGCAGTACTTTCAGGGCATGTTGTCCCTGCTAGAAAAGCCAGCACTGACCAGCATGTGTTGTATTTTGCATATTGGTATGTTCGCAAGCAGCAACGGAAGCTGTTATACTGATCACCACCAAAAACAGCAAACACTGTGTTTTGGATACTGCTATGCTGGTCAATGAGCATGGCCATGTCGTAAAACATAAATTTGAGTAAGTAAAGCGCTTTCATTTATTTGTAGTTAGCTTACATTACCGATTTCTCACTAAGAGGTGGTCGATAGCAAGGATACGTATGCTACAGATCTGCCTCAGGGTGGTGCAGTAGTGAGGAGGGTCACCGAGTTGACCCTTTGCAAAACCCTTCCCCTAAATAGCGACTGTCCGATCACAGCCTAGCAACCGTAACTAGGCATGAGCACCTCTGACAAGCCTTCAGATATGTACAAATTGCAAAAGGTATTTAAGGAAACCCAATGGGGCATACACAATAAAAAGGTATGCACTCATACATTTGCATTCCCTTCAGGAAAGAACAATAGTGCTGTTTTGTTTCCATCTGATCTACATCCTGTTTGAAGAGGCTTCTAAGTTTCTGGCTGTGATATGTGATACGAGCTTTACTCTCTGTTTTCCTTTTAGTGTTGGTAGGCTGTTTGGTAGGTGTCGAATGTCTACGTATTTGATTGTATTTGTACAAAAATACTACGAATTTCGGGAAAGCAGTCCACCTTTTCCACTTAAATCTTTGTAGTTAACATGTTGAGCATGAAAGTTTGTCAGACATAGTAACAGTTACCATGGGGCCTATGCAGATTTTTTCTCGAAATACCCATGTTAAACAGCCATTTTCATGTTTCAGGCGAGAAAATAAAGTTCTCTTTATGACATTTTTGCTTGAGTTAAAAAAATCAACCGCTGACCAACCCTGGAGCACTACCGGACCCTTGATTATCATGGGGTATTTAACACTTTGCCCCTAACACTAACCACTAGGGGGCGTAAATGTAAAACCACATCATGCCTTGTAACCGCAGGGCTGGGACTGCAGGTTTAGAAGCCATGTCCACTGAGTTTGTTGGGCTTTGTGGGAAGTAGCTGGGGCCAAGGCCTGGGGGTCTGGTGCCAGGAGAGAGTGCCAAATGGCAAGGATTTTTCAGATAGGACGTAAAAGCGTATTGCTGAACAGGCTTGTATGGACCACACACATTTGCCTGTTCTTAATTTATCTGCTGACGTATTAGTCAAGAGCAGGCAAAACAAAGAAATATTATTAACTCATTAGATTATTGTCTTTAACACTGAACAACTGTAAGTTTCATTGAAAACAGAATATAAGTAGTTCTGTTTAACCGGATTTAGTGCAATGGTGTTTAGTGCAATGCTACTCATTGTACTCATACATTGTGATTGCCTTTTTCAAATGGGGCTGATTTTCTGCTAAAAATGTGTGGTCTGTTTTTTGGCCAGTTTTGACTGGAAATTAAATAGACAGAGGTGGTCTCTGACTTTTGCACAGTGCTTTATCTGCTGTTACAGTTGTTTCTCTCTATCTCTCACTCTCTCTCTCTCGCCCATCAACAACATTCTTTCCCTAATGAGAGGTCATTCCTTAGGCAGGTAACACACACTCACCCTTTCCTGCAGAAACACACACACACACACACACACACACACACACCTCTGCTCCATTGTGTGGATCTGTATGAGAAGCGGATGTTACTGTGCTGATGTTCTGATAAACAGAACCATTAGCTCTTCATTTAGCGAACAACACTTCACTCTTACAGGCCAACGCCCCACACCACCACATACACACACGATAAGATAACTTTCATCCGTGATTATAATTTCCCTATCTCTGCTTTCAGAGCTGCTCACACAAATGTTTTTTAATAATTAATAGATAACAAAACGCCTGGAAATATTTGTAACTCTGATTTGAACGATAGGCGATAAGTGGAATCTTTTATCAAAATGAAAATAAAATTTCACAGCTGGTTCAGTCAAATATGTTTTTTATTTATTCATTATTTGAAAGCAGAACTATCTTTTACTTTTATATCTGATTAGCTTATTAGGTGCCTGAACTATTTACTATTTGCAACAGTATAAACTAACTGAAAAATTAATTCAAATCACTGAAGATTGAATAGTTCTTGATGAGAATGAAATGACATTAGATACTAATTAATATGTAGCAAGAATCTGCACTGACCTTCAAAAGTTTGGGGACACCTACCATTACTTCAATGTTATTTTTAATGAAATAAAACAAATAAACAACTATTTACTCATACTTTGGTATTATTTATATAGAAAACATTTGATGCATATCTTCACTGTAGATGCTGTGCATAAGCTCAACTTGTCTTTAACATTCAACTAAATATCTGTTAAACGCAAGTGAATTCTACTAAATCTAATCCTAACCTTCACTTCAACCCAGATTCTAAACCCTAACCCTAATGTTTCACCAGAGTTTCACCGCATAGTTCTGTTAACAATTAAAGCATCTGCATATAATCTCTATCAAAATAATAGGTGACCAATAAACATTTTCAAAAGACCTCCAAGGGAAGCCACAACAATCCACACAGTTTATATCTTCTATCTTTAATCTGCTGAGCCTCAGTTGTAGCACGTCTGCACGGTGAGCCTTCAGGAGGCTGTAGAATAATAGTGCTGTCCGTAAAGAATGAGGACTAATCAGATCTGGGCCCCAAAGCATCACAGTGTTGAGATGATCTTCTCTATTTGAGAGAGAGAGTTCAAAGCGATGCTTGCTCTACCCTGCTCTTTGATGACCTCTGTGCTACAGCACTTCCCTGTCCGATGGCTCGTGAGATACAACAGAAAAGAAGCAGCGGAGAGCAGAGGAAAGCATTTTTTGTTATCCTTCACGCATCCTCAATATTCTATTCTATCTGCACGCAGACAGTTTCTGTGAGTTGCTACTGAATACTGTTCAAAAAAGGAGAAAAATGCAGGGTCATTCTTGCTAGATTCTTTCCTTCCCAGCCACATTCTTCCACTCTTTCTCTCATTGTGAAGAGCCACGGTGCGCTTCTTGAAAACATGAGGGTCTCCGGAAGCCATAAAGACTCGCCGTGGGCCGGTGTTATGACAAAGCGTTATAATGACTGTTTAGAGCTGAGACATGATTTTGCCTTTACAAAGGCCGAAGTGGGTGCTGCCTTTGTCTACCGACTCCCTCTTTCTGGATAAACGTAGCAATAGCCATCAAGAACTGAGCCTAAAATTGAACAAACTGGTGATGCAATGTTCCTATAAGGGGCTCATTAATGTAATAAATTAGGGACTCAAATCCAAAGTGATTTACTGACTTGTGACGTGACTAGAACTTACGGGGACACTGGGAAAACTCCATCTGTCATTTTAAGAAGCCCCAAAACATTAGATAAAGGTTTCATTAGCAGGACATTCAAAGGGAATTCTACCTAATGTTTCAAAACTGATAAGATGTAAAATTGTTCAGAGTGTTTTTATGTGAAAATACTCCATTCTAGAGAAACTTATCAAGTCAGAATTGTTCCAAGTGGTGGTGATAGGAAAAGTGACATCACAGATAGCTGTTGCATGTTGTCTGATGTATGAGACGTTGTTTTACAATAGCTTTGAGATCAAGTTTAGGCCTGAAATTAATTCCTTAGAAGTCATTAATGGTGCAGAGGTACATGCATATAAAAACATACATATAAAAACTGTGGTTGGGTTGGATAGTAAATAAAATGGCTATATTTTTCATCCTCTGGCTCCTGAGTCAGTAAGGTATTGCACCATTTCATATCAGGCCACTCTGAATGACTTTGTTTACATTTGAATGACTGGATTACGCAGAAATTGAAAGATATGGAATAAGTTTTGTCAGCTTATCTGGCATTTTTCTAGAACTGCAGTTAAGCAGCAATCTATCAAGCTGTATTTTAGCTGTGCTCCTAATTACGCAAATCGGCTAATAAGTTCAGTTTGTTTTTTTAACAACAAAACCTCACCTACTGATTTTCTGTTTAATATCTGGCTTGCTGACATTACAAGGAGATTGCTTGTAGTTTTAGCCTCTGTTTGTTTTTATTTAGACTGTAGAAACGCATTGGGCCTGAAAACTGAACTCAGATGATTTGTGCCTGAAAACTAAACTCTATGACATGGGACTTGGGATTTGGCTGCTTATTGGACAACTCATAAACAAGCCTGCTTGGTTATTCCAAACAAAGGCCAAACGTGGCACAACGTAACATGCATAGTTTAAAGATTACGTTTCCCAGGCGTAAATTAAAACACAGTTTTGGAGCAAGCAGTTTAGGTCTAAGAACACAGTGGGGATCCAAACAGAGGGACATCCCGACTTTCATTAATTTCTGCCTGCTGCCTGGTTTGGACTGCTAGGGTGAACGTTTTCAATATCTCTGTGATGTGGGTTCGGTTGAGGGTTTGGTTTAAGGGCCTAAGGGTTGGCGTGGTGGGCTAGCAGTTGAGGGTTAGTGGTGGTTATTTTGAATTGTGTAGTGGTGGTTATTTTGAATATTGTGGATAAAACTGGGGTTTGGTGAATTTCTAGCTGTGTGGCTTAACACTAAATCCACTAATTAATATTATGTAGCAGCATTTTAGCAGTGCTAATGTTAAATGAAAAGCTCAAAACGAGGAATTCTTTTGAAACTGACAGAAAAACCCAAACATTTTTTCTGTGCAATCTTTGTACTGGGGTAACGACAAACCAATAAATAAATACACTATATTTTGTTGTGAAACTACTTCAAAAAACACAATTTTTAAAGGAAAAAAAGAATTTAATATGCAATTATAATATATGCCAAAATATTACATTGACAAATATTGTATGTTGATTTTCTAGGTGAAAATAAGGCTTTCACATTAGGAAATTAATTAGTTTATTTTCAATTAATGTTTAGTTTCTGAATTTACATATTGTGAAAAAATAAGACAAAAAGGTGGTTATGGCACATTGTATTTTGAATATTTTATGTTTTTTCCAATTTGTTAAAGAAGAATGCCATATGTAATTTTCCCATAAACTTACTATCACTTAGAAATTCAATAGAACATATAATTTGACCAGAGATGTCCAAACTCAGCTGTATTAATATATATATATATATATATATATATATATATATAATATATATATATATATATTGTTAAGTTTGCCTTGGTTGTTAAGTTTACTTTGTGGCAGGCAGGCAAATATATATATATATATAGTTAAGTTTACTTTGGTTGTTAAGTTTACTTTGTGGCAGGCAGGCGAAATCACATGTCCTCACAGGCCACACTGGACAGCCCTAGCTTAAAACTTCACCAACAATAAACCTCTGAAGTCCTGTGTCATTTCGTGGTTGGTGTTACGACCATATTAAGAACTCCAAGTCTACACTGATTTCTCTATGAGAAAAATGAATAGCGTTTTCGAAAAGTGATGTTATTGTGTCCTGTGTTAAACAAAAATGTTCCAAAGCCAATATGTTTCACTGTACCTACATTTGGCCCCAGAGTGTCACTTGATCCTCTCAATTATGAGGTCTTTTAGAAGTCAAAATATGAATAAAGCCTTATACATGCTACAAGCAAGCTGCCACTCCTGCACATTGAAATAAAGTCACACACAAGCAAGTCTACTTTTAAACTTTAACACTATTAATTACCAACACCAGCTACTCAAACTGTAGTCTACTACTGCCAGAGCAGCTTTAGAACAATATTTAACAAAGCTTGCTGGTTTGTATGCTTGCTGGTTAATTAGATAAGGCTGCCAGTCTGTGTGCAGCAGTGTTAGCTTGCACACAGCAATATTCACATTTGGGCTCCTTAATGACATCATAATTCAGAGGGTCTGGTAATGTCCCAGGGAAAAATGTACATATGACAAAAGGTATCGACTTCGGAACATTTTGGTTCACCACAGCAGCAATTTTTAAAGATGCAATTCATTTTTCCTGTAGAGATAAAAAGCTTAGACACAACTGCTAGAAGTTAAAGAGGTTTGTGGGTATAAAGAAGCAACATTGTTTGGCCTACAGCATTTCTCTCAGTGGGATCTCTTCTCTATATGATGAAAAAAGGAGGGATCGTTTGGTATCTCTCAATCTTCATATTTTATCAGTGCATAACGAAAAAAGTGCCACATGCCAAGCCAGCGAATGTGTGTGTAATCCAGGCCTATGGTCCTTCAGGCTGCAGCAAAGATACTATAACTGAGAAACAAAAACACACTTGCGCAAACCTACCCTAGATGGGGAGAGAGAGAGAGAGAGAGAGAGACTGAATGAATAACGAGGCTGTATGTCATCACAACAGCACCTTTTAAATGCTGCATTATACGGGCCATGCAGGTGCAGTGTTCCGCGTACCTGCTCATGTATCGGATAGGCTGTGAGGTTGTACTGGTGCGAGGACGGTGATATCTGGACGTGTCTTAGCCAGCTTCTGCTATCACACACACGCCCATCAAAACCGGCCTTCTGCAGAGAGAGAGAAAGAGAGAGAGTCAGTCACTCTTTGATCTTTATCTTTTACAGGTTACTCTGCAGTGTCTAAACCACATGCCACCCACCACGCTGTTAGACTCCAAACAAGATTACACACACATAATCACACCTGCCCCCCTTCCCACCCCCCACCACACACACCGTTTCCTTTACAGCACCTATTCCACACACTTTAATGGGAATGCAGCATCAGTAAAAGGACGACACACACACTGTACTTCCTAAACCACCACCAAGGCTAAAGCAACCTGCTCCAATTATGTTGGTCACAATCATTAATGTCCACTCACGTGAATAAATGTGAACAACCCAGAACCTAGCTCTAACCCCCACCCTGGCCCTAAGACTAATGCTGGGATTAATCCTAACACTTTAAATTGAGTCTAACATTGCTGAGAATGAACTGAGCTTCGTAATCTGATGGGGGATATCCAAATAATCCAAAGTGGGATAAAATCATCTGTTTAATTTGATATAATCTGTTGACAAAGGTGGTCTTCAGGGGAAACGCACACTGAAGTATACACTGATTTCAAACCTGATGCATCTAAATACTGAGCAACATAATCACACAGTTTATCAATCACTATAATCTACACTCTCAGAAAAAAGGCTCTGTATAGCCCCAAACAAAGTTTCTATGACTTTTAACAAGCAGAATCATTTTTGGTCCTAAAAGAACCACAGCAGGTTTTTCCTTCACAGAGAAAAAGAATTTATTCAAAAGACAAGCAGCTTGAGTGGTCACTGTTTCTACAGAACCACTGCATTTACTGGGCCACTGGAAAAAAAAGTGTGGCTCTGAATTGACTTGATTATCGGTTCCACATGAAAAAAATCCATTACATCAACACAATTCTTGCCAAAAGCAAGTAAACTAAAGGACGGTAATTGTGTTGATATAATATATTTCATTCATGTGAAACGAATGTACACACTTGAATCAAGTAAACTCAAAGCAATACCTTTTCAGAGCATTTTTAACAGTGTAGGGATGTAAAAACTGAGATTTGAAGGGTTTAAGGAAGAGCACATTTTACAAACATGATTCACTGAAACATGAGCAACATTTTCACGTTACATCATTCAGTATAAGACTGTTTTTACTTTGATTAGAATTAGATGAAAAGAAAAAGACACCTAATCTGACTGTTAGCTCAGGCTGTAAAATGTAGTCGGTTTCTGCTCAAGGAGGAGTCTAGTTTAAATGAAAATAATGAAATAATAAATAATGAAAGAAATGAAATAAATAATAAATAATGAAAGAATGAAAAGCTTAACCTCTTCACTTTGGAGTCACCAACACCTGACCCCCAAACACCCACTCACACACATACACACAAGTCTCTCTCTCTCTCTCTCTCTCTCTCTCTCTCTCTCTCTAACGGTTTCATTGCCTTTAACTGAGTCAAAGCTCTGCTTCTCAGACTTTTCCTTTTAATGCGTTTCATTAAAGCTTTTATGTGGATGATGTGAAGCGCACACGGACCCACACACACACTCACACAGCGCTCTCAAACTCAGCTGCAATTATTTTATTATTAACGTCAAATAAATAAAAATGAACATGTTCAAATTAATTAACGAATTATTATTATTATTATTGTTATTATTATTATTATTATTATTATTATTATCAGTGCTAACAAAATTTAAACGAAAACTTATGTTTTTTCCTCCTCTGTAACTCAATAAACGGCCATTTCCTCTGATATAATAATAACAAAACATAAATCTTACAAACTGAGCTGCTTACACGCCGCTTATAAATCATCCGTTTATTTTAACGCTTAGATTGAAATTACTTCGTCAACCTAAAGCGCAGCTTAAACGCGCACCTGCAAAACCAGCAGTGCACGAGACTTCAGTAAAGACCTCGTAGTAAAGTTATCCGAACATTTTTTTTTTTATTAAGGACGTTTTTTTTAATGTTTGATAAAACTGAAAACATCACGCCGCCCGAGACCGATTCGATTCGATCGAAAAAACGCATCAAAATAACATAAAGAAATATAAAAAAGTGAAAACGGAATTAAACTAAAGATGATACGTCACAGACGATGTTTTTCTCTGAATGATTTTCCTCTGTGTTGTGTAAAAGGTCCCGGCTAAGAAGCTGCGCTGCTGTTGAAGCTGAGGAAGAATAAAGCTCTTACCGTGAGAGCGCCGGGAGCGCGCGCTCATTCAGCAGGAGCACAGAAGTAAAGACGGTCCTCCGGAGAAAAACATGAAAAAATAAACAATACAAACAGACGCGAAACTCCCGGAGCAGTTTTCTCTCTGCTCCTCTCAGCGCGAGCGTTCCTCTCTTTCCCTGAATGGGACACTCGCGCGTCCCGGGACTCTTCGATTTGGCTCAGCGCGAGAGCAATTCCCCGGATGATGTCAAACTTGGGGTTCCTCGAGCCTCCCATCCAGTGTCGTCCCGTCCCGTCCTGTCCCGTCCCGTCTGGTTCACTCCCCCCTCCTCCTCCTTCTCCTCCTCCTCCTTCCTCTCCTGCGTGCGCGCGAGATTTCAAACTTTTTCCTTTATTTCGCTCTACTCTCCTCGGACCGCGATCCGTGCTTTACTTTACGCTCCGTGGAATTCAGCGTGCGCGTGCATGTGTGTGTGTGTGTGTGAGAGAGAGAGAAAAAGAGAGAGAGGCAGTGTCTCGCGGACTGTCCCGCGCGGGGGAGATGAGCAGTGGGAGGAGGAGGTGGAGGAGGAGGAATAAGGGGGGGGGGTGTGTGTCTCGCGTGTCCACTGTTCGGAAGTTGCGCGAGGGCTCCCCGCGGTTCATTTGAAAGCGACGGGAGCGCTCGAGGTCAGAGACGGGTCGCGCGCGCTGATGAAGCCGTCCGCCACGGTCACGGCACCAGCGGCGCGAGATTGAGGAGGAGAAGGAGGAGAGGGGTGGTGAAGGTTTAGAACGGAAGGGAGCGCGCGCGTTTAGGACACACACCTTCAGCAGGGTGGGAAGGCCCGCGAGCCGAGACACTACACTCACACACACGCACGCACGCGCTCCAAAAATGGTGTCTAAAATGTTTTTAAAAAAATGCTTTTTCTTTTTTTAAAAAAACTTTTCTTTAACACACCTCGTTCCAAAATGATGACGTGTTAAAAAACTGAAATAAACAGCCATCGATCAATCGCGCCTGAATGCACGAGCGTTGCGTCTATCAGACGTTTGGTGCTGCAGTCCGTGTCCAAGAAAGCGGCCCTTAGCTTCCCCGACTCGAATTAAAGCGCAGAACCTGCTTAGCGCGCGGGCACGAGCACATGTCCTGTTCTGTTGGTGCCGTGACCCCGCGCTAATAGCGCCTGATGGAGATTAATCATTCTCCCTTCGCTATCTGTGGCATTGAACTCGGCCTCTAGATAATGTCCATTGTTTCAAGGGCCAGAAAAGCGGAGGAAGGACGGGGGGAAAAATCGCCAGTAAATAAAAGGCGCCCTGGCCCAGAGATTCCCATGCACGCTCCTTGAGAACCGCAAAGAGACTCCGGTCCGCCGCGCATCGATTTCCTGCCCTGCCGCGCCTTCTCCATTGTTGGAAGTCTTTTTAATTTAGCCATAAATTGGGGAAAGCTCGAGCCACGAGCTATTCTATTTTCTCCCTGTCAGGCTGAGGGATTTGTTTTATGATGCATTGTGTATTAAATACAAGTAATCTGGGAAAGTGATTGCTGGGGTCTGAATGGAGGAGGCAGCCTGATAGAGCGGGCTCGCGCTTTTTATGAAAAAGAGGAAGAGCGAGGGCCTAACGGGAAAGCCCCGTGGCGTGGTGTCTCTGGCAGCAGAGGCAAAGGACAGGGGTAAGAAAGTAAGAAAGAGCTGACCGGGGGCATTAAGTGGCGCTGCAATGCCGGATTCTGCCGCTAGAGGCCGCCGATAGCTGAATAAAACCGACAAAGAAAAAAACAGTCTGATTTCTGCAGGAGAGAAGTTGTTGAGCTTCAGGGCAGACGATCAAACGGGCTCGAAGAGTTTCATTTCGACACGGTTTCAACGCATGCGCTCTGCACGCTCAGTGGCCGGCTGCTAGAGCGGCTCACCGTTAAACGGGGGATCAGAGCCCGAGTTTGTTAGAAGTTCATTACAAGCGGAGCAGCCATTATTCAGTTATTTTAGTTTGTATGAGACAACTATATACAACTGTGTGTATGTTTATTTTAACTGCATTTGCATTTAAACGCAGCTTGTTCGAAACGCACAAGCGCATTTATTTACAGAACTCTGCTCTCTCCGTCCCGGGACTTTCTGCATGCAGGGAATGTTGCACCTCTCTCTCTCTCTCTTTCTCTCTCTCTCTCTCCCTCTCTCTCTCCGTTTCTCTCTCTCCCCCCTGCGCCGCCTTTAATGGAAACACTGTGTACGAGACGCATTCCAGCACATCCTAACGGGAAAAGGAGGAGAGGGGGAAGGAGGGGAAAGGGGGTGAGGGGCGGGGGTTGAGTAGAGAAAGAGAACGTCTCGTGCAGCAGCTGGAGCGCTAAGCGCTGGTCTCCCGCAGTCCAGCAGCGTAAAGCTGCATTAAGCGCGTCCGCACCTTAGCAGCAGCTCCAAAGCTCCGTTTAAAAGTGCCCCAACTGCCTCGGGGGCTCATCCCCTCTCCCCCCACAGCGAGCTCCTGTTCGATCCTAACGGCCTGCAGCGCTGCAGAGCGGACCACTTCAGCTCACACTGTCCTGTAGCCTTTCATTCACTGTACCTACACCAGTGAGGAGTTGTTGATTATTTTGGTTCAACAAAGAGTTATCACGATATTAGCCATGTGTGTAGATATAAGTAAATGTATGTCTGTTGTATGTTTATATGCAAGCGTTTAATTGGAACGAGATTTTTAAAATAAATACAATAAAACGAATGAATTTACACACAAACAAAATGAAATAGGATCAAACGATGCATACAAACAAAATAAAAGACAATGAAAGGACGCACAGAAAATAAAACTACATTCACACGGAAAATTAAACAAAACGAC